TTACATTCTTGGGATGTATATTGGATAGCCTGACTTTAATATTACAAATCAGAATTAAGCTAACAGTATATATACATTTGGGTTTTGATACCAACGCGTTTACTTTTAGCCACACTTGACATTTATTTAATCTAACATATCCCATCATGGATGCGAGAAACGACAATTGCCAATTCAAAAAAAAAATAATAAAAATTTGAAACCAAATTAAGTTTAGTACTCTTTATCACTTTCTAATATTCTCAAATTAAAAAATAGTAAAGGGAAAAACCAATGAAGCAAAGTTGTAATTTTTGTGAAATTCTGTAATCAGTGATTCATATATGACAAAAACATTGGCGAGCGAACTACGTCGGGGCTGTCACTGAAACAAAACGTCTTGATCAATAAGTTGTTGTATTTGAAAATCACTCTCATTGCAGCATTTGTATATTGGCAGCCAAGTTGCAGCTGATGACATTAACTTTCTAACAACTCTTTGATCGGTCATAGAAATTTAATTTCCCACTTGATTCAAGGAGCAACCCAGTGGAAATTTGCCCCCCTCCCCCCCTCCCCCCAAAAAATACAAATTCATATTAAATTTTTATATTTGTATTGTCTTTAGAACAAAACTCGATTTGGACTATGTGTTGGAACAGAAAAAATATAATTATTATATTATTAACATAATAATCTAAGAGAGAAAGAAAGTTAAGGTGTGGGATTATAATAAAAAATTTTACTTCCAAAACATGTAGTTTTGACTAAAAAATCCAAAAAAAAAAAAGACTAAAAGAAAAACTTTCTTTCTATTTCACCAGGATCAAAGGACATATCGCAAGATCTTATACAAAAAAAAAATTAACACTTTTACGTTAACAAAAAGTCAAGGTCAACCCAACTAAGTCTGAGTGCCTGACACGAGTATTAATTTAATACATACATGTTCTGAGCGAGAATCTATCTTTTCGAAACACTGACTCACTGAGATTCACAATTATTTGTTCGTGTGCACTAGCTCGAACCGGTTAATGGAGGATAACCTTTAGCTCAGACACTGTTGGCATACATAGTTGACTCGATCAAACGAAAAAAAAGGAGAAGAATGAATAAAGATTGGCTAAAGGAAAACAATGTCCCCATTGATTGATTAGAAAATCCCGCTTGACAAATTTGCGCGTCAAAATAGCAACTAAGTGGACAATCCCTTTTACCCTATTAAAGGAGAAGACATGAAACTTATGTGGCAACTAAGTATGCATCTGTTTTGGCCTCAATGCACCATATTTCAGATCAAGAGTATTTTCGCCACGTGTAAGTCTCTTTTAATTAGAAGTTATATAATTTTTTTTAAAAAAAAAAAAACACATGTTTTACTACAAATAAGGATCAGTTACATTTCAAACGAATGGATATATTAATTCAAATTCAAATGTCCAATCGTATAGTTTTGCAGGCTTAATATAAACAAAAAATAAAAATACCTAAATCCAGCAATTAAGAATAATGCCTTATAAACTAATTATTTATTATTCCCTTATAACCTCAGATTTATAGGTATATTTTTTTAAGCCCCAAATCATAGCATAAATGATATATACGCCAAATTAATTCCTCAAAAAATAGTAATTCAATTAGATTTTAATAAAATAGTAATTTAGAAGGGGCGCCCGGACATCTGCCTGGGCCAAACATCTAGTTTACACTATATGGACTCAATATTTAGTTCGAATGAAGACTAGTATTTACCCTTTTTTTTTTAAGGGTAGACTAGTATTTACTTAAACATTATTTTTTTGAGGTACGAATTAATTAAAATTAGGTCCTCATTTAGTATTAAAACAATCTTCGAAAATCATATACTGCCGTGTTTATTGATTTCATCCATGTAAGATCCCGCTTTGTTCCCCTTGGTTATGGTCAATTATCGTACTCTTGGCTTCAAATTTACTGCAGAAAGAAAATAGTTTAACAAGTGAAATTATTTAGGCAAGTGAAATAAGAAAATATTTCCCTCTTTCAAAAAAATAGTCCATATTAACTTTTAAAATTTATATTATTATTTTTAGTACAAATCTAAAGATTCAATGTGGAGTCTCTTTTGAGACATGGAGTAATAAAACCTATTTATTCATTTAGACTGTAAATTATATTAATGGGCTTGTTGTCTTTTCGGGCATGTCTTATATTTTAATATGATTTTAGTAGATTGTTTCATGGTTTCTGTCATTTTATCTCAAATAAAATATATTTTCCCCGGATCCATTTTAATATGTATATTGTATCATCGATCATGTAAGAATTGCAAATGACTCCCTCTTTAAAAAAAAAAAAAAAAAAAGAAAAAAAGAAGAAGATGATAGAATGGCAAACAACGATAATCAATTGGCTTATAAATATTTATACTCTCGTTGAAGTTGACAATACGAGCATTATCACTATGATATTAAGTGGGAAGGAAATGGTTGGTCTTAATATATTGTGTGTAGAATCCGTGAAATGTTGAAGAGAATTAAGACGTTGATATTAAACATATGTTCTGAGAAGCTAATTTCAAAGTATACTATATGGTTTTACTAACAAGTAGACCATAATGGTTTGATGCTCCATCATTAGCAATAAAACATTATAATTGGAACATGATGTAATCGGTGGTATATTTTTATAATGTAGTAAGTTGATTTTAAATAAATATTTTTACTCTTTCTGTCTAATTTTAACATTCTGGTTGGTTCAACAAATTAATAAGTGCCATACTATATTTGAACTCATTCTTTTTCTTTTTTAATTTCATTTCATATGGTAGTAACGTTTAACCGACTTAGCTAAATTTATTAGTCAAATAACTTCAAGGTCTAATAACATTTATGAGTTCTAAGTTCGTGCTCGTTAAACTCACAAAAGGATCAATCTCACTGTTTTCTGTTTTATACACAGTAATTTTCAACAGTGATATTGATATTACGCTATTAAATATATTTATACAAAAATAAAGGGGGAAAAAAAAAGGAAAATAGAAGAGTAAACAGCAACGAACAAGGTTGGCGACAGCTGAGACACAATCAAGCTTCTAGTCTAATTTAAGGGTTTCCTTTTCACTTCTGGAAGTGATTCCCATGATTTATCCGTCCGCGCGCTCTCATCAACAATTTAGAAACGACGAATACGCATCTTCATCGTTCTGATCAGGAACGTTTCCAGGAATGATCCTTCGATCTGATATTTCCGAAATGCCAATGTAGAAATCGTGAATCCAACACCAAAACAGACTCCGACATAGGCTCTAAAGATGATTTCATGGTTGAGTACTTTCCTAGAAGCTGAATGAATTTTGGAAGTATCTGTTTTGACAGCGCACGATCGTTGCAGAATCTTTCCACACAATCCTGGATTCCCCTTGAAACTCTCAGCTGGAAAAGTATCAAACTGACCTCCATCCGGAATCGGGCCTTGAAGATTGTTCTCCGACACATTGAAGAATGAAAGAAAGTGAAGGATTCCCAAGGACGCTGGAATTTCGCCAGATAGGTGGTTTTCTGAAAGGTCCAATTTTTCCAGGTTCCTGAGCTGAGAAATTGAGTTTGGAATGCTCCCTGAAAAGCCGTTCTCGCTGAGATCCAGGACGTGTATAAACTTCAACCCCCCAATCTCCGTTGGGATGTTCCCGCTGAGGTTGTTTGATCTCAGGAATATGGCAGGAGGAAGGGTAGTTAATTGATTCATGTGGTTGGAGGCATTGTCAGGCCTGAGAAATACCGGAAGCTCCAACAACGGTTGACTGATGGCCTGTTGGCTTCTCAGTCGCGGCATTGCTGTCAGTTCGACCGGAAACTCCCCAGAGAGACGGTTCAGGGACAGGGCCAAGAAAAACAGGTCTGGCAAACTGCCTAAAAAACTCGGAATGGAGCCTGTCAGGTCATTGAACGACAAATCTAGGACCTTTAGCTTTCTCAGCTTTGCCAGCCAACTTGGAATTCTACCACTCAAGTTGCAACTGCCAATGGCGAGAAATTGGAGATTTCGAAACCCTTGAGAATCAATTGAACTGTCATCACCTGGCAATGATTCGTTGTAGAAATTCTTCCCGAGAAGCAGTGTGCTGAGAGGTCTGCAGCCTGACAGAATTTTAATTGCACCGGCAATGTTTGTCAAGGAGTTGTTTGAAACTGAAAGAAAAGCAAGTGATTTCAGTTCCGGAATGTTGGGAGGGATCTCTCCAGTCAGCTGATTCGCAGCTATGCGAATCGCTATCAATGACTTGCAAGCAAAAATATTCGATGGAAGGCGACCATTGAAAAGATTATTGCCCAAGTCAACGACGCGAAGTTGGGTGAATTTGGAGAAATTAAGATGGGAAAGTTCGCCACTGAGGAAGTTGTCCCTTAGCATCATTACTGTGAGTTTTGTAAAATTAGTGAGAGAAGGGGGCAGAATTCCATGGAAAGTGTTACTGTGAAGGAGTAGGTGTTCTAGATTTGAGAGTTTCCCGATTCCTGGAGGGATTATTCCTTCCAATTCATTGCCGTATAAGGCAAGCATCGTAAGGTTTTTGAGATTGACAATCTCCTTGCTAAGTGAACCATTGAGCTTGTTTCCAGGAAATGATAACTCTTGTAACGCGGACAACTTGTAGATATCTTGGGGCAGAGGTCCTGAAAGATCATTGAAACCTGCTCGTAGAGTCTCCAACTTCGTACAATTTTGAAATTCTCGGGGTATGGTTCCGTTAAAATGATTGTAAGAGAAATCAAGGACTCTGATGGAATGTGAGATGCCGCATATGAAACCAGGAATGAAGCCCTCAAAGAAGTTGTTGCTGACGTTGAATCTTACCAGGTTCGTCGCCTGTTCCAGAAAATCAAGACGGATTGTTCCATCGAGCTCATTGCTGGAGAAATCTAGCGACTCAATTGTCGCTGGAGTGGCATCCGCAGCTGGTAACTGTCCCAAAAGACGGTTGTTGCTCACATCAATGATCCGAAGCTGATTCAGGGAAAATAAACCATCAGGAAGAGTACCTGTGAGGGAATTGCCTGTGAGATTAAGTTCGCGAAGATGGCTGAGGTTGGCAGTGGACCGAGATATGCTTCCAACAAGCCCTCTTAACGGCAGCTTCAGGCTGATTACTCTTCCAGACCTGATATCACAAGAAACACCCTCCCAGCTACAACAATCAGCTGAAACATTCCAATCAAGCCGAGATGAGTGGCTCGTTATGTTGTTTGAAAAGGTTAACAGCGAGTCGCGATCAAGCTGATTGCAGGAGGCTGCATGGCTAGTACCCCCAAAGCAGAGTAATCCCAGAATTATTACTATAATTATCAGCAAATCCATAAAAAAAAAAAAAAAAGGCGAAAGGGTTCTGCAACCAGAGTTCGGCAAGATAAACAAGGAGAACAAGAAGAATGGAAGGAAGGAAGGAAGAATGTCGGCTCTATGAATCGCAGTGGTGAATGGTCAGATATGTCAAACTCGGATGGCCAGAAATGTAAATATAACAAAAAAGTAAGACGAAGACTTAGAAGTTAGTTATTAAAGATTGTCTTTTTGGACTGTAGGGGGGAAACCTAGGACCTAAAAGTATTAAAAGAAATGATAAGGAAAAGCTTGTGTATTTATGTAAAAATTGGTGGAACTGGAATACTCTATATATATATGTATAGAGATGCAATTTTCAAAGAGCGCGACTCAAAAAACGACGACTCCAACAGAATCTGAATTATCAAAACTACTGCATCTAAACGTATTTTCTAGAATCGAGTATATAAAATTATAATCAGTAGACTAGGTTGAAAGACTAAGTCAAACTAATGCAGCAAATTCAACAATGGTGATTCTAAGGCAGCTTTTGAAAACGATTATGTTAGGGTTAGGTTAGACAAGAGTTTACTCATGCTTGACTTGCTTCACTGCCTGGTGTTATCTCTTGGACATTTTTATGCCAATAATCAAACAAAATATAATTTGTCGTTGATCGGCGGGTTTAGACTTTAAAGAAGGAAGAGACAGGATTTTGGTGCGTCTCCCCTCCCCTTCGGAGGGAAGACGGAAATGATTGAAAAGACAGTAACAGTTAAGTGGACTGACGTTCAACAGAATGAAGTCTTCTAAATTGACATGACTATAATCTCAGTTTTATTTTTTTAGTGGATATAGTTGACGTGACTGTATATAAGACTAATAAGGTTAAAAGAACATTCATAAGATGCGTATCCATCATGGAGCAGAGCTCATCAAGTTGCTGGACATGTTGCCATAAAAGAGTTATTAGTAACCTTTAAGGCCATAGATTAATTAATGATTTCCAAATGAATCACACATTCAGATTCACATCTGGGCTGTAATTGAAGAAGGAAATTTCTTCAACAATATGCTAATCAGCCACTAAATGGCAACCACCGAATGATAAAACTTGGAGATTTTGAAACCCTTGAGAATCAATCAAACTGTCATCAACACTGAAAAAACTCATTATAGAAATTCCTGACGAGAGGCAGTGTGCTCGGCTGATATTTCTGCACCGCGACAGAAATCTAATTTCGGAGTTGTCTGAAATTGACAGAAATGAAAGTGACTAGTAAAATGGGCGGGATCTCTCCAATTAGCTGATTAGTAACGAGACGAACTGCTATCAGTGACTTGCAGTTACACAGGGTTGTCAAAATGCTACGGTTGAAAAAAAAATATTGCCTAAATCAATCACGGGAAGTGGAGCGGAATTGGAGAAATTAAATTTGGAAAGAGCACTAGTAAGTAAGGTTAACCGTGAGGATGAGTTCTGCGAGTTTGGTACAGTTTTGTGAGAAGAGGATGCCCATTGAGTTTGTCTATGTGAAGGAGCAGGTGTTCCAGGTTGGAGAGTTTTTCCGGTTTCTGGAGGGATTGCGCCTGTCAATTTGCAAGGCCAGTATCGCAAGGTTATTGAGATTGACAATCCCATTGATAAGTGAAGTGAACTGGCCTCTTTGTCGAATACGTGCAGTTGATTTGTAGTTGGGGGGGTCAATCTGCACCAGAAAAAGATAGATTGGAAATGTGTCCAAAAGAAGTCCCTGGAATCTTATATGTAATGCGTCATGAACTCCAAGGTTCTTCAACTAGCCATATGTCAAAGGAATTTACCCCTGGAAGCAGATTGTATGATTTAACCAGAACTTGCAAAGGTATCATTTCCCCATCTGGGATTTTCCCCTGGATCTCATTGTAGGAAGAGATCCAGATTTTCCAGCGTTTCTTATTGAATGAAGCTACTCAGGACTGAGTCAATCAAATCCATTCTTGTGACGTTATCGCTTTCCAGAGACGGGGAGCTGGAGCTACATCTCGGGACCGCATTCCAGCAAAATCCAGCAGTCCTCCAAACTCCTCTCCAAGAATTTCCCCTATTTTGAACGAAAACCATTGGATTTCCTGAGGATTTCACTCAGTGCTTTGGCTGCCTGTTGGCGGATCAGGCCAGTAAGAGGGCTGCTATTCAAGTCGAGCCAAAACAAACTAACGCAATGTGCCAACTCCTTGGGGATCTTACCACTCAAACACTCAAACTGTAGTTTGCGAGTTGGAAGACCACCAACCTGGGAAGAAGGCCCAACAGAGAGTTCTTGGCTTGTTTCTCTCCACGGTGGATAATTGTTGGAAGAATGAGCGTGACAAAATTGCCAACATTCAAGGACGTTGGGAGAAAAAAACATTAAATAACTTGTTTTGGCCGCAGGACTACTCTGTGATACCAAGATGAAAACAAAATTTAAAGAATTGAATCTTGACTCAAGTTGAATTGTACTTGTATTGAATTCACTGCCACGCTCAGCAACATACACAGAGGTCTAAATTTATAGAACCTAGCCTATCAACTATGGTTTTCTCAAGATAAGTTCAAGCTTGTAGTATTGATCAGCTATTGTTGCAGTTAATGAGGACAGGATCGGATTACTTCAAGGCTAACTTGGCACTGAACATAATTTCCTGCAGAGTAAATTCAGTCTCTCCAAAGGCACCCTATCTCTCCATATACTCTTAGAAGTAGCATCACCCTATCTCTCCATAAATTCAGTCTCTTCAATGCTGGACATATCGATGACACGTGCTGGCTGCTGCGGCTGCCAACTTTGAAGGCATCTCCAGGGACCTGCATAATATACTGAAAAAACAGCGAAATTGTAGTCAGAACATACAAGAAGAAGGAGAATAAGAAGAAGAAGAAAATGTAAAGCCTTCTAGTGAGTTCCTGTTCTTCTTTTAAATACAGATACTGAAGTTCCAAATTTTGAGGAATGAAGATTGAGCTGATGGCTGATACCTGTCATTAAGCCGCCTGTGCATATATCATGTTGCGCTGCGATGCAAAGTGCTCTCCTCACCTTCATAGCAGCTTCAAAAACACTCATCCTCTGATTAAGATCACACCTATATGAAAACATGAAAAAAAAAAAAAAGGAGATTTTAAAGAGTATAAAAAAAAGAAGATTTAATAAGCAAAGAAAGAATCAAATACAACGATTTTGCTGTTTAAGAGCTTACTTTTCTCGCAGAAAAGCATGGGCTGCCTCCAATCCTCTGCCCCCAATAACTTTGATTTTCATTGAATGAACCATACCATGTGGGTTTATCCAATACAGCCGTGCACCCTAGAAGGGGAATGAATATTAGAAGGGGAATATTAATGGCCATCAAGCAATTAGAGAATTAGCTATACACCAGCCCTCGTCGATCAGCTCCACCCAAATGTCTGGCTGCATCTTTCGCAGTGAAGTCCATTTTATTTTCATCAGAACAGTTTTCCTTATTCTATAACACCAATTAAGAATATCATGTTAGATAACATTTACAATAGCATGTAGCATTCCATGTTTACACTGAAACTCACTTCCAAACTAGCAATCAAGTCATCATTAGAGGTGACATAGCCAGATCCCCCATATACGAGCGGCCACTTGGAGCTAATTACACGGAGTTTACCAAAGTCTTGGTCATGATCTGCGATAAAACGCTAGCATACATCAGTCTGATATAACAGTTTTATTATGATCCCAGTAAATCCATAATAATATAATAACTCACCTGGTACTCCACCAGTGCTTATCCTAGAATCTGCACCAATTACGACCCCTAAATCTCCAAGGTCATCAGTAAACAAGTAACCTACAATGGCCGTGCCGTGTGGCATTCCTGTTTTAACAAAAAAATACACCAGAAATAGATGGGTTCAGCTACAAACTAACCTGCAAGAAAGAAAGGAAGGGCCAGAAGATCACAAACATACCACTAAACTCACTGCTCTGGATAGCTCTGTAAGCATATATGATTTGCTTTTGTTCTTCCAATTCAACTTTCATGGTGTTCAGCCCATGTTCCTACACAAAGACCAACCGTGATCTTCATTAAAAAAGAGTCAGAAAATTCCATAGCCAGCACCAGGAAAAACAACTCTTCCAGTAGTAAGAACAAACAAAGACATCTAGCATAAGAATCCCCTACTAAAAATCATAAAAGAGGAAAGTTTTTCCTTTCTTTTCCTTTTTCCTTAATCAAAGTTATAATGGTATCAAGCAACTGCGAAAGAACCAAATAAAATCACTTGGCTTACAGATGCCCACCAAAACCAAGGACACAAATACACATCAGTCATCATTTTTCCCTCAATTTCTAAGAAATTTATCGACAAATCGGCTTTTTGGAGTTTAAGGAGCATGTATAGTGTGCATGCATGGCAGCACCACTACATCAGCTCAGAGTGCTTGTACTGAAGCCTACAATTCTACAAAAGGTAAGAGCCTTATCTACTACTAGATGTCTACTTTGAAAAGATTCAACTGGAGCACATTCATTTGAATAGTATAATCTTAGATGCTCAGGTTAACATAATGAAGCTGGGAAACCAATTAAGCAGGCTACTTATTGCTTCAAGAACTAAAACGACCAGTTCATATTCAGGCCAGGAAAATAGTTTTTCTAGTACGAATATATTGCAATCTGAATTGGGATTAAGCCACTCATCACATCCAAGGACTGTTTCACTCTAGAACAATTCAACTAAAAAGTTTGAAAGGGATCAAAAGAGGGCTAACCAGCACAACATAGCAAGAGGATAAAGATTCAAGAGAACGAGAAAGATAAACTTATGCAAAGGTAAATCTTGTAGGTCTTTGATAGTATATGGTGAGATTCAAACTGGGCGATGGCAATTTTCTTTATCAGTTCTTTACTTGTGTCTATAAGTTATCACGGAATAGGAAGAGAAGTGATCAGACACCTACTTTTCTGCATCCTTTAAAACACCTGAAGACAAAAGATAACCCAGGTAGTCTTTTTTCCAACGGATGATAGAACAAAGGAGATTTCACACAAGCAACAATCGGGCACCACCACATCTAGAGGTGGAACAACAAACATGTTGGCAAGACAGAAAAATCAATTAGGGATGTTTCAGCTGAGCCCGTCCCAAGGGGTTTTCTCTGGAAGCCAGGGAAAAATGGCCAGTTCTGTCACTACTTCGGAGGAACTCCATACTTAATCCACAATGTAATACAAGCTTATTGCAGTTTATGGAGGAATTCTTTCATTTAGAACAGGCTCATTTTTTAAGTTCAAAAAATTGAAGTTCAAATGAAAGCATGTGAAGAATAAAGGAGCAACAAAAAGATCCTAAAGTATTTGCTGCAACTACGATTACTATCAAAAGAGAAGTCTTAACCATTCAAGCACAGACAACTAGAGTTTAAACTATCTTATTTGGAAAGGAAGATTGAGACTGATTTTCAGAAAAAGCTACGGAAGTCAACATTCAAACTTCGAACCTGCAAGACTACAGTAAAGAATGAAAAAAGTATCATCCATTAGACCAGCAATCTTACATTATAAATAGCAGATCAATCTTATCTTAGATTTTAACTTCCTGAGTATGCACCTAAAGACTTGGAAAACAAAGTGTGCTTCACGTAAACCAGCAGATACCTTTTCCAATAGATCTTTGACTGAAATTTTGCGCCCTCCAAATTTAGTGGCTGTCACATGAGAATTGAGATCAGCAATGGTCTCTGCAGATATTGCTAAATGAAATAATGGGAGTTAGTACAGTAGTGCTTCACATGTAAATACAGAGCATATATGCAATGTTAACAAGGTAAACAAACTCACGGATTCAGTGGCTTAAGTTTTCGGAGGCTTCAATCACCCCTTTGCCAAAACCAGTTGATCCCTTCAGGAATCCAGCATTGTCCTGAAAAGACCCCATAAACAACAAAATAAATATATACAAACAAGAACATCAGACGAAAATCAAGATAAACAAAGTGTTTTTAATTGGTATGGATCCTAAACCTAATGATTTGGCTAAGCACCTCAATAAAATTAAACAAACAACTATGTGAAACTCATTTTACTGGTAAGGATTCCGGGCCTAATTGTCCCAGCCAAGACCGCACTAAAAGGTCTCCTGTCTAATCTCGGGAAGAATTCTACCAAGAGATCAAACAAAAAAACAACCAATTCCAAGAATGAACGAGAATCTAAAGCAACGTAGATATACCTTAGGGACTGATAATGCAAGAGCTGTCTCGCCTTTGGCCACCTAAAATCAGGCAAAAACAAATAAATCAGACGAACATAAAAATCAAAATTGTGGATAGATTGTTCCGGCCAATATCGCTAGAAAAACCTCGGCTAAAATTCAATCGAGAAACAGAACAAGAAAACGAAGCCTAATTCGATCAAGAAACAGAATTTAAAGAGACGGAGACATTACATTACAGGATTTAGTGATGCAGCAGCTACTATCCATCTTTTCTTCACTTCAAATCTAAGAAATTCAAAAAGGAAACAAGAGGAACCCAAAAATAAGTTAGATTGATCTGATATCTGTACATTCTTGACCTCCGATGAACATCGAGTTGAATACCTAAAAATTCCACTACCAAATCAACATTCAAATAAGCACTAATTCGAAGAAGAGAATAAATGATCATAAAACCAAAACCGAGAAGTGATTTTCAGTACCTTCTTTGCTGATTTTTGAAGAAACTATGGCGAACTGAGAGCTGTTCTTTTCGACGAGTAGAATGGGGAATTTACGAGTAGAATTTGGATTCTTTCTCTGAGGAAAGGGGGGAAACCACTGATCAAGAAAGACTTTAAAATAATTGGGCTGTTTAACTGGAAAAAAAAATGAATAATTGAGTAATTTTTGGCCCAAAATAAAATTGGCCCAAGAAATGTATGTATGTCATGATCTGGCGCTTAATTGGAATTTCAAGAAGTCAAGGGAGTTAATAAAGACTGGGCATTTGTTGTATTTCAGACAATTATAGGGTTTGTATTTAATTCCGAATTACCTTCTAATTTCGGATGTATTTTCCATTCTCAGATATCGGCTATTAATAGCTTGTTATTGCATTTGAGCCACTTGTGAATGAACATATTGGTTCTGTTTTTATGTATCGGTGCTCTTTTATTTCTCTTGACTTCTTCCTTCTTTCTTCTTTTTCTCCAGCTCCTCTCATTCCTTCCGACTACTTCTTTACTAAAGTTCCCTAAGAGATTTCGATACCTGACAAGTTGGTATCACAGTTGGGAATTTTTTCGGTTTTGACAACTATGGTAATCACAATGACTCAAACTCGTTCTCGGAAGGAGTTGGATGATCAATTACGACGATAATAGCACATCTCTAAACTTGCGACAAAATTGCGAACCAGTACCGGTGATCTACGAAATCCGTTCCCAGATGCATGACATGTACAACAAATTCGTTCATTGTCGGTTACGCTTTCATCCTCCATTTCGGCTGCCGCTCTACTCAAATGGAGGAGGTTTTTTGGCCAGTTTTTTACTATTCGAGCCGACAGGTGATCTTGATTATAGCCCATGAGTTTTGATTAATTTACATAGACATAGTGGAGATTTTAGGGCACTAAAATAGTCCAGAAGTGGTCACGTACATTTTTTGGGACAATATGGGTTGATTGCCAGTTCAGAATTGGAAAAGGAAAGTAGAACCCAAATTGGACTAGAATTGTTTCAGCATCAGTGACGTGATTAATTGACAATTAAGGATAATTCTTCCTTATTTTTTACTCATTTTAATAAGAGAAATTATCAGTAATTGATAAGACATTATTGGTAACGATTCTATTACTAAATTAAAGGCTGATTAGTAGAAGAGTCATAAGCCGATTGGGAGAGAGATTAATCTCCTCTTTCCAAGGGAATTGATTAGGTTAAACTATCTCTTCTCCAGAAAGCGTACGGTATCGAGGGGTTTGCAAGCAATATAAATTGCAGCAATCGTGAAGAGAAAATCATTATCGATCAAGCATACAACTTATTTTCCTTGTCTTTTATAGTGACGAAGCATGGATTCACACCGACGTCTCCAGTTGATTGATCCGGCAGCCATGGCGGTATCGAAACCCTAAAACCTGCAAAAGAGGGCCTTGGGGTCTCCCGAGGTAGACACTCCAATGCTTAAGTCAGTAAGAGTAATTGTAATAGGGGTATTGATTATGGAGCGTAGAGCGTACCTTTAATGTGAGGGGTTGATCCCTATTTATAGAGCTAACTTATGAAACCCTTTTCTTGGTAGGAAAGTAATTAGCAACAGCCCTAGAAACTTCCAGGGGCCGGTTGAACCACTTGCTCAAACTTGGGCTGGCCTAGTCGTGGGCCGTATAATTAGGACTCATCAAGTGCCCCTTATCAAGCCTATACTTCGAAGTCTAAAGATAGGTAGGCTTGATAATATGAAGTATAATGTTTCCTCAAGTTTGGAAAAAACTGACTTAAATCGAGAACCTGCAATAAGTTAGCATCAAGGAGAAACCAAATTAATGAAAGTATTAACACATACCTTTCTGAATGTACGTGTCGTAAAGGGTGATTGACATTTATGACAATTTGTGAAGAAAGAAGAGTCATTAACCCAAACTTTCGAGTGAGAAGTTGATAGATGATGATCTTAATAATCAGCCTTGTTGAGAGAATCGAGAAGGAATCGTAGCAGAGATTTTCACTAGTCTCAAAATTTGTGTCATTAGTTACGGCTAAGATATATCAATTGTAGAAATGAGGAGTCTACTGAGAGAATATGGCGTAAGCTTTTGATCGAGAAGTAATTGACCCAACCCTCTAGAACAACCACTGAGTAGTGGATCGAGAAGCATCACAAATGAAGACAGAGAATACTCGATGTCAAGGACATAAGTTTAAGAAGGAACACTGTCTGGGATTGAACCGCACGTCGAGAACTTGCCCCAACATAATCTTTTCTGTAAAGAAATGTTAAGGACCCCAGAGATATGAATAGACCAGCTCGAGTGTAGTAGAGCATTTAGAGAATCGAGACTGTCACCATAAGCATCCTCGATTGTTGAGGAGGGACAGAAGAGAGTAGAAGACACCGTAGAAGATGCCGCATGTGATTACGTCAATGCAGGGATAGTGAGACTCAAGAAGATTCTCTCGAGTAGAACTCCACAAAAAACTCAAGAATTGCAACTTATCTGACCTTGAAGAAGATATACAAGCATTTAAGCTTATTTATATCCGCCCAACCGACCCGCTTGTCATTTCTCATGTCCCGAGAAATAAAGCATAGAACCCTTAATCTGGGTTTGAGAAGGATGAATCAGGTTGATGTGTCGAACCCGAGTAGATGTATAATATCGTTGCTCGAGACTCGAGCAAGAATCGAGGAGGTTTTACGCATTAGTGTAAGAAGAAACAATGCCCCAGTCTAAGCATTAATTGAAGACCGTCAAGAAAAGTCATAGGAAGAGATTTGTAGAACCAAAATCATCAGGAAAAAAAAACAAAAACACAACCTCCCAAACACCTCCAAACACCTTACACACTTTCTAGACACCTTACAATCTCCCATATATTTCACTGTATAATAAATGAACATTCCTCGTTATAAATAACCCCGGAACCATTACTCATCTCGGAGCCCCCAAGTCTTGGGGTGGCATTTGGCAGACCGAGGCTTTTGATATAAGAATAGTATGAGAGTGTAATTTCCGCTGCTCAGTTCGAGGCGATGCTTGCTCAAGAAGCTCCCATACTCGCAGAGGTAAGGCAGTAAAATGGCGTCTAATAGAAGGAGATGGGTGATAACCACCATAATAGAAGAAATAGGCCTGTATTGGCGAGGCACAAAATGAACCCGAGAACACCGAAAAGAAAGTCATTTTCTTTCTGATGCATTGGATGATATAATAGATCGATCCAAGAAAGTATACTCAAGAACGAGTCTAGTTCTCATTGAGGTATAAAACACGTGTGTTTATGTTTGAGGGATAGTCCACCCCTTGTTCATTAACATGGCCATCTAGGCCTTTCTCAATACTGAATGTCGAGTACACGGCTTATGAGTTATTTGTAAAGCGCTTATAATGGCCGGATGTCAAGTACATGGCTCTTTTGTAGGCAATCCTAAAGAAGATACCTTTGTATAGACAATTATGAAGAGAATGTCTTTTAAAGGACGATCCTAAAGAGGATATCCATGAGGAAACCGAATACGAGCTCCTCGAGTTTAGACTGTTAGTTGTAACAGTTAATGGTAGCATGACCCAATGAATGTCCGGATGTTGAATAGACGGCACTTTCGAGGACGGTCCTGGAGAGGAGGTCCATCTCGAGAATGGTCCTAAAGAGGATATCCGTTCAAATGACTAGTCATGTTGAAGTGGGTGTAACTAGGTATATGTGATTCACCAGCTCCCATGATTACTCGAGTGGGCTACCACTATGTGCATTAGACCGATGGTCTATATCCCGGGTATGAACACTCTAAGAAAGAGCGAGCTTGATGTTGCTACCATCCTCGAGGGACCATCTGCGAGAGTTATGTATCTCTGCTTATTTTGTCCCAAAATTCTCGGGGTATGCCTGTCCTGTAGCTTCGTCCAAGACATTTATTGCAAGTATAATAATAATGACATGTCAACTGAAAGATAGTGAGAAGTTCATCTAATAAGCACATAAAGGCTCTCGGACCTTGATAATGTATATATTGTCTCCTCGATCGAGGATGCATATTCGAAGGGATCATTCGAGTGTATCTTAGTTTCGAGGAAGTATTCCCCTGAACTCTTTGATAATAACTGTTGAGGACACATTAATCTGATGGTGATGCTTCTTGAGCGTAGACACCATGATCAACCAACCTGGTCTCTGATCCTGACAAAACACTTACTCAAGCATCTGTAGTTGAATTAATAAGTAATGGCATTATATTTGACACCTTCTACTATATTGTCATGTTCCAGACTATACTTTCTAATAAATTAACCAAAAGATAAAGTAAGGCTATTGAAGCCAAAGACTTATTTAATCCTCAATTTTTCGAGGAGGAATGCAAAAATAGGACGGTAGAGAAATCGTTTCTCCATAGACCTGCGCTCATTTTGAAACATGTTAAGCTTTTACATCCCCATGATAGCAACTTTGAGCAGCTTGTTGAATAGAGCAGCTTTGGCAATTTAAGATGTTATGGCACTCATGCTACATGGAGGTGAAACCATCCTGCAATTACGCAGTTCAAAGCACATTACCAGCAATTATAAGTACGAGAGGGGTATCTACCCCCTTTTTAAACGAAAAAAGAAGACAAAAGTTATTTAAAAAACCTAAGACTAGGCTAAACTTTCGTGCACAAGAAGAAGATAAAGTTGTTTATGTGTACAAGTAGTAATGACATGTTTCACTTTTAACAAGTATGTCTACAATTAGTTGATAATTGTATTACAAGTTCAAGAATAGAATCTGGAGCACGGGCCCAAGTACTAGGCGAGCAAGGAACGTGAGCCGGCATCCGGCTTGGTCACCAGTCTTTGCCGTCAGTGGCCATATCATAGGGGAAACTCGACGGAGTGACCTCAGTCACGACAGGAGTAAGGTGATGATTAAATTATGAATTGTTATTGACAGTCGGTAAGGTCGATCCTTTTGACGATATATGGATCGATTGTTAAAATCTAGTTTGGAATAACGTTGTTGTGCCACTTCGGCCTCGACGTGCCTTGCTAGATTTTCCTGTATCCACCCCTATTGTTAATTGATTAAAGTGATTGTTTGATTGATTTGTTCCATGACAAACGTTTTGATAAAAAGGTTTTACCATAGTATGATTTCTCAAAATTATTTTATTAAAATTATCATAGTATCGTGAGGACCTCATTGAGCTTGCCGCTCACCCCTTTTATATATATACTATCCCCTATCCCCTTCCAGGTTTTGAGGAAAAGATCAAAGAATGCCACTAGGAAGATGACTTATTCATTTTGTCATGGAATCGGGTTAACGGACTTGAGTGGAGATTAGATGGTATCGCGCCTTAGGCAAGAGCTCGGTCGTCGACTCAGCTGATCGCGAAGCATGACGTGGAAAAGCAAGCATGTGGATTAGCTGGGTTGTTATAGCAGCAACTCTTATCGGTAGAATATGAATGTATGCGGCAATCACAAGTTTTGCTCTAACCGTTAGAATCATCATCAAGAGAGTCCTGGAAATTTGAGCAATCAACGGTAAAGTTGCAGCAGTTGTTGTCACAGTGTCAACAAGTGCAGCAATCGGCTATGGAAAACCAGCCATCCCCCAGTACATTGTCAACCTCCCAAGACTGATGGATCAATAGCTTCAACAAGAGACGACACAGTTGAAAGAATTGGTAGAGTTGCCATTGCTGAATCTTCGAGATTCTAATTTATCATTATTGGTGTAAAACCAGTTATTGGTGCCGATAGAGCAATTATAGCTATGGCAAGAGCCATCCTTGAATTAAGAAATTCACTTTACATCAGCGTTAGTAGAAAATCAATTGCTGATACAACCAACACTAATGAGGGAATTGCAGTTGTCATCAGAGCAAGACCAACATGTTTAACAGCAACTGATAAAATCCCATCAGTTTCAGCAGTAGTATGTGTTGTTCCATGAGCAAGCGATGCCGTTGTAACAGAAGATGGTGCTAATTGAAGAGTTCCAAGAGCCAGTGGTACAGTTTCAGAAAAAAGATGGTTTAAATCCCAGACTTTAACCTGCAACCAGTGCGAAGTAAATGATTTCAGGGTTTGTCTATGTTGGAACAAGATTCTAGAGAAATCTACATGGCTGATGATTCCGCTCTTTGGCAGTACGTTCAAGAAAAATGGATGGTTGACAAGAAACAAATCTTTCTAGGTACAAGTCACTATGATGCCGGTCAGGGCGACATTGAGTTCCAAATAATTCATGAACGAGATCCGCAATCTGGAATGTTGTTGCTACCAGATAAAGGGCTGACTAATTCAAACAGCTGCCATTCTTAAGAAATTTGTCTGATGCCCGGGGGCATGTTGCTGGTGATAAATCTTGTTGTTCTGGTAGTCATGATTTGCAGTGCAAGCGAACCATTGTACGATCAGCAACTTACGGTGACACACATCAACATGGCGTTATTCGCTTCATGATTCCTTACATGCTCAATCAAGAGGATACGGATACTTGTCAATGTCATGTTGATTCAGGGTTTCAGTTCCATTCTATGATTGTTAATAAAGGTAATGGAGGTTAACTTGCGGAATATCTATCATCTGTACTAAATGTAAGTGGCTTGGCCAAGATTGATGATTGTCAAGAAAACAGTGGCCAAGAAAGATGTTGATATGAAGCCAAAGGTTGATGCAAATAGCAAGGGCAATGAAGATAATCAGTTAACGAAGGATGATAAGTTCAAGAAGGGTCAAACGGAACTGAAATTTGTTAAGCCAGTTGGAAAGTGACATATCCAATCACAGTTAAAAGATGATAATAGTCACCCAGTTCATGCGCCATTAACTGAAACCAATGTGGCATCAACAATCAACAAAGAAGAGATCCACAAGTAGGCTGGTTCTGATACAGTTAGTGGTTCTACCATCTCAAGTTCAGTTTTTATATAGTTTGGTAGTTAGCCTGAGGTAAGATGCAACCAGCTTACTTTTCCTTTGATTTTGCATGGATCAGACATGTTAACAGACAGTGGCAAGGAAGGCATCAAGAAAGACGGTTCTGATAGAGTCAGTAGTGCTATAGTGACAAATCCAGTTTCTAAGCAGTTTAACAGTCAATCTGAGGTGCAGTGTGAAAAGGTGGCTACTTCGTCATTGAATTTTCAAGATCAACACTTGTCTAAGGTCACAAAGGAGGTCAAGAGAAAAAATGTCGTTTCTGGTTTTAGAGTCCAAGATGTTGAGAAGCAAAAAGTGAACAATGCTTCTAGTTTTCATACTTAAATGGCCGATTCAACCAAAATCAGGCCTCGGTGTTAGCATGGTTCAAAAGAAGAAGAATCGTAGAAGCTATTCACGAAGGCAAAGATCACAAGAGTCAAGATCCAGTTCTAGAGTTGGTGGTAGTTCTAAAGAAAGGTCTCAGCCGTCGCAAAAAAGTAAGAATGCACTATTCTTTAATCCGTATCATTTACCTTATGCATGGATACCGTATTATGTTATGTATCTAGTGAGATGGTGTTATGTGGATCTGAGGGCCTCGTGGAATGCGTCTGGCTTGTGGTAACGGTGTGCTTATCAATGTTCATATTAAAGTCGTATTAAATATGAACGTTCTGGGGCATTATGTTTTGCCATTTTTGGACTATTCGAGCCAACGGGTGATGTTGATGATAGCCCTTGTATTTTGGTGAATTTACATGGACATGGTTGAGATTTTAAGGCACTAAAATAGCCTGAAGTGGTCAAGGTACGTTTCGGGCAATATGAGTTAATTGGCAGTGAACAGTTTCAGAATTAGAAAAGCAAAGTAGAACCCAAATTGGACTAGAGTTGTTCCAGAATCAGTGACGTGATTGATTGGCAATTAAAAAAAAATCTTTCTTATTTCTAGCTCTTTTTTATAAAGGAAATTATCAGTAACTAATGTCCCACACTCCCACTTATAGGGTCAAATCAATAAGTTCTAAGAAGAAACATTTGAACATCAATCTCATCGATATCATCGATCTCTTAATAAATATTAGGCCTGGCAATCCGTGTCAGGTTCGGGTTGGCATGTCGGGTCAAACCCGAACCCGGTAAAATTTAGGACAACCCGAACCCGACCTGAATAAATATACAGGTTACATATTAGAACCCTAACCTGACCTGAAAATATACGGGTAACCCGTGACCTGACCTGTTAACCCGTAAAAATATATTACACTGTATTTTTTTTTTTTTTAAAAAAAAGAAGTTAATTTCATCCCCTGAATCACTAGCTGCTTAACCAAAATGGAAAAATTCACCTACAACAATAGAAGTTTGGGCTCTCGCATAAAATGGAGAAACCACAACTCCAGAAGGGACAAAACAAGACTCCAAAACCATCCGTTGCAACTATTGAAATGAAAATCAATTTCACTGAAATAATTATATATGTATATATATGTACTGAAAACAGTTCGAAATCTGGCACCTGCACGGAAAGGGAAAAAAAATTAGTAAAATTGGCCAAAGAAAGGAGACCAAAATATTAAACTGAAAATTAAGAATGAGGGGGAAAAAACTAATTGCATATCAATCAATCAATAGGTTAAGCCATATAAACTAACAAACTCTCAATAATTGATGTAACTGAGAGAAACATGGTGGATTTTGGATGAATTCCTTCAAGACTTCGTACTTCGTACTTCGTACTTCTGGTGACGGGAAAAATGAGAGAGAGAGAGAGAGGACGGTGACAGAAACTGGAGGGAGGAAGCGAATGAAGAAGTGTACAACGGAAGGAAGGGTTTTATTATTAGGGTATCTTCTTGAAATTCCACAATAGCCCATAGGAAACAACATAAATTACTAAATAACCAACATATACGGGTGACCCCGATAACCCGGCGGGTTGATCTGAACCCGACCTGTATAATTAACGGGTCGACCCTAACCCGACCTGTTTATTATACAGGTCAAATTTTTCAACCCTAACCCGCTTATTTTGTGTTGGGTTCGTGTCAAAATTCTGAGTCGTGTCGGAGATTGCCAGCCCTAATAAATATTATGAATCGAATCACTTTCTTCAAGAAATACGAGACATCTAAGTCATATAATTAAAGAGATCTATTCATTCATAAAAATAAAGGTGAAAATGTGAATGGCAGTTGGATTAATGATCAAAATAGAATCTTGGGTTGCAAACAGTGATTCGATTGGTGATGAAGAAAGAGAATTCTTGTTTTAGGTCTTCACCTTAACGACAGAAAAGGGGATTGATCGAATTCGATTGAGTCTGACTCATAGTAATCATTTATTGAGAAAAGATTTTATTACCAAATTAAAGGTTGATTAGTAAAGGAACCCTCAGCCGATTGGAAAATTGTTATGGGAATAATCTCCTATTTCTATGAAATATCATTGGAAAGAACCCGGCCAGTTTCATCATAGCAGGTTTAAGATATAATGATCATCAACTCTTCTCCAAGTGCGAAGCAAATTTTCCAGAATTTCTTTCAAAACTTTGTAAGAAAAGGAAATTTAAGGGGATAACTTCCTCCGCGTGATGGATGGTTGAAATTTAATATAGATGTGGCGGTTTGTCTGTTCTCACAGAAGAAGGCCATGGGAGGTATTATAAGATATCACCATGGGAAGTTTTTGATGGCCTATCATATAAGATAGCCTATCATATATGAAAGCAATTCTACAAAGTATGAAAATTGCTAAACAACTTGGTGAAGATCATGATACTTGAAGGTGTTCTACTTGGTTGTTTATGGTTGTATAGTTTTTGTTTGGTTATTTTGTATAGATTGTGTAGAGTTGACTAGATTGTGTAGTTGACAACCTTGTATATAGAAATTGTATAGGACTGAATATATGGGGAACTTACATGTAAATAGTATAGTCAACTAATGTAACTATAAATAGTCGGACTTGTATATTTCTAGATATAGATTCAACCTGAAATAAGAACCCGACTTTTTCTCCGAAATTACCAAACCTAAATGTCTTTGACTACCAAATATTATGCCAATCTTTTCTTGTTTAACTTGGTTACTCTAGAGTGTTTATCGATTCAAATTCGTCGTAGCTTGTTGAAAGGATCCAGAGTTGTCATTGACACTCAAATAGATGTGTTGCTTAGTGAAATCCATGGATTCCTAATCTGGACAAGAGAGTTTATGGTACAACATACTTTTTGATATGCTTATATTTTACCTAGTTATTATATCTCTAATTTGTGATTTTTACAATATATATTGAGTACACATATGCTATTTATGTGATTCTATCTTTAATTGTAGGAATTGTACTTAAATGGAAGAATTATTGAGGTTTTGGACTAAATTGAAGAGAAAAAGCAACTCAAAAGAAGAAATTGAAACAACTTCATGAAGAAATAGGAGTTGGAGTTTTAATTTAAATTGGCTTGAAAAAAAATAACTTTCTTATTCATGAAGAAATAGGATTTGAGGAAAGCCTATAAAAAAAGGATTAGGATTTTATTTTTGGGGAGAGATTTAACCACAAAACTACTTCTCCATCACCTCAGCCCCCCACCTCTGCCGACCATCACCTTAATCACCATCCACCACACCTCCATGCACCAAACCCTTTCTCCACCTACCAACTCCGCCGAAATCCATCATCACCAACTTCAGCCCCATCTCCAAGCACCATCACTATCAAATCCCATCACCACACCAAATCAGCTCCAAAATTCCATGCCTCCATCTCACCCCATCAACACCAACTTCACGCCACACCATCATCATTTTCACGCATCATCGGAGGAAGCAAGCAGCAACACATCAACCTCAGACTTAATTTCGGCTGACTTTCTCCCAGGTTTCATTGTTTTATTTATTTTTGAGATGATGTGTAGCCGCCGTACTATTTAATTTAATTTTATTCATGATTGTGACTTTTTCATTAGTTGATATTTAATATTCTTGTTTTTATTCCATGTGAGTATTTGATCATCACTTCCATGGAAGAAAATTGATCCGGTATTTGGGTAGAAGGTAAAAAGAATCTGTCACTTCCTGGATCTCTCCTTTTCTTTATCGAATTAGGGCTTACCTGGTAATTTACTTGTATATATATGGGTTTGATGGAGGTGTTTAACTCGATATTAGTCGTAACAATTAGGGCAAGAATCTACGGTATCAATTGAAAATCTACTAGGTTTGTGTTGTTTTGATTTTTTTTTTTTTTTTTTAATTTGAATTTGAGGTGAGAACGATGAGGACAATCTGCCGTGGACCTGGACGCTTATCCTCTAAGGTAATGTCTCTGTCGATTTAAATCCTCTTTTCTTCTCCAAATTACGGTTCGTTTTGTTTTTAGGTTTCTCGATCGAAGTTTAGCCTATGTACGAATCTTGGCCGGAACAATTACGTCAAGAGTCCACCCGTATCAATTAATTTGCGTCTCGATTTTTCTTGTTTTGTCTGATTTATGGTGGAAACGGGTGATATTAACTCTGGCCGATCTGAATCATCCTCCCTGACTTATATCTTGGTCGCCTTGAATTCTCTTTCTTTCTTTGAACTAGCTCGTCTTTTTACATTTCCTGGTAGCTTTATTTCCAACATCGATTTTCGCCTAGGTTTTAGTGCGATTTTGGCCTTTGCAATTTTGTTTAGAATCTGTACCAAGTAAAATAACATTTGTTGATTTTGGTTTGACGATTTTGTTTTACTTTGATTTAAGCAGAGAAAGATCCCCCAACCAATAAAAAAAAAAAAACATACACACACACACACACACATTAGTTTACCCATCTATCTGAATGATTGGTCTCAAGTCGGAGGCTTTCGTCAGCCTAAGTTGACCATGGTGTAACAAAAAGTGACGTTTTTAGCTTCTTTTTTTTTTTTGAAAAAAAAAATTATTTTAAAAATTAGCTTTCTCCCTTGTTTAGTTTGCTTTTGTTACCATAACCAGTAGTGGCTATGAGGTCTCTCTATTTTTAATTTGCTTATGAATTAAATTAACTCTGTTTGTTTTGATAAATTTGTTTGTTCTGCTCCTACTGAAGGCGAAAACGGTTGATCCGAGCTCTAGTGGAAGTGAATCAGGCTCTTGTGATGATGATGTGATTGAAGAGATTTACCTTCATCCGGATGGGGTTAGTTTTTTTTCTCCCCTGTTACTTAAATATACGCTTAACCCTTATATTTTAGAAAATACTTTTGTTTTTCCCTTTCTCCTTTTCTCATTTTATTATTTGATTATAATTATTTTCCTTTTTTATTGTAGTCTTTTCCGGAGTATGGCCCTGCATTTGAAAAGGGAACCACAACTTTAGCTTTTATTTTCAATGAAGGAATAATGGTAGCTGCTGACCATTCAAGGAATTGTGAGTTCATTTACCATACAATATATTGATCTTCTAATGTATAGTATTGTTGTACTAACTCCCGTTGTTGGATTTAGTGTCAAATTCTGCGCCAAACGTTGTTGAACTCCATTCTCACATGCTTGCCACTCTATCTGGAGGTAGCGAAAGTATGCTCCGAGAACTGCAACAGAAGGTACTTGCTAGTTTACTTGGAACTTTAGTCTCAGACTAAGGAAGTTACCATCTAAGATTGGTCTCTAATTCATGTCGACATTGTTTGTTGTGTTCAGTGCCACCAACATGAAGTTAATGAGGGAAGAAGACCTGAATTTGGAGAGGTATTGAAGTGGCTGCGCCAGACCCTCTCTTCTTATGGTGAGAAGGAACTGCCATCAGGAATATTGATCGCAGTGTGGGATGAAAAGGTGATTCTTGACCGTTTCACTTTTTTAATTCATTACTTTAGTTTTATGTTTACTCTACAATATGTTCATAATTAAGATCAAAATGATTGTACTATAATCTTGCTGAAACTATTTTCTTAGTTATCATTTGTAAATTAACCAGTATGGATGAAATAGGGGTTGTTTATGAGTTTCTGCCCATTTCTTTGAAGATGATTGGCATTTTGGCCCCTTGAACTAGGGGTTGCGATCCCATCATCATGTTTTGTGTCAGCTGGTGAATTGTTAAAAATTCACGAAATGAATTTCATTCTTTTTCTTGTTTGTCAATATTGTTTTTCAATCCTTATTCTTGAGAGTTCACTCTACCTGCCAAATGAACATGTGAGCTTTGTTTGTCCCATTATTTTTCTTCTTCCATTTTTCCTCATGAAAAGAATTTCTTTCTTTTTGTGTTTTCTTTTCGTAGAAACCTGGCCTGTATCGCATCAGGGGTAGGGGAGAAGTGCTTGAAGATTCAATTCTTGCTACTGGATCTGGTTCAGGAGGTGCTTATGCTATTTTGGACACCCAGTATGCCTCTGCGACACTTTGCTATTTAATTGCTTTAATTGTTTCCTGAGCTTTATTTCCCAAACAGGTTTTTGAAACTGCAGATTATAAAGAAATTGTTTCTGGTTTTTCTTGTAGGCACCATGATGATATGTCCGAAACTGAAGCTGCGAAGTTGGCCAATAGAGCACTTTGTGTGGCTGCACATGCAGCTCCTAAAACTGGTGATCTCGTTAGTGGTATGTTTGTGATCTCCTGGTCCCTTGTTTTCTTGAAATGCTGGTTTTTTAGCTGAAGATAAGTTCTTGTGTCTTTATTTTGAATTTCCCTGATCAGTACTCTTCTTCTGTTTGCAAGTCTACCACCTTGGAAGGATGGGGAGTGAGCAGCTCTTTACTGTTGATGTGGTGGAATGGCAAAAAGAGAACTTAAAAGTCCCAAGATGCAAGTATGTAGTTATTGGACCCGGATGGTGAAATATTGGTGGTGTGTGTTCGAAGTACACTTGGATTCTTGCAGATTGTATAGCAGAGTGTGTAGGTGCCCTTTTAACATGGATTCTTGCAGATTTTAGTAGTTCTTGTGTCAATCTGCCAATACAATGTCTACTGTCTTTAAAGCATAAATTTTCATCGCATGGTGATTTTGCACTAAATTTGTTCAGAATTTGTTTGGCGGAATCACTTGTCTTACAAAAATATTGGTAGGAGTAGGAATAGTACTAGTGGTATCAAAGTGCAGGTATTTTTAAAGGTGGATAATTTCATTCTAAATTGCCTGGATGCTAGAATTTATTTTGGGAAAATAACCACTTCTTTTGTAAACCAGAAACTAATAGCACGTTGCTCAAGCTCAACTTCATATCCCGGCGAATAATGTGGGGTCTTGAAAGCATTTTTCAGTCTTCCCTATTCCATAGACCAGCAGCCTTCCTTTGCCAATTTTACTGTATTCACAGAAGAGGGACAAATTTCCCTGGGCTTAATCTTCCCTAAGGTTTTTATTTCAGCCATGAAATCTCGATCGCCTTTAAAGCTGAAGCGTATAATTTCTTGATTGAAACACTTCATCTTCTTTCTTTAGAAGTCGCCTTGAATACTTCACCAATTCTTCCGGAATCGATAAGCATGCAATCTGCCAACAATAGCACCAATTTGGTGTTTGGTTGACTACTACGATAATTGATACCAACCATCAGTGCCTAATTTCACACGAAAAAATTGTTTTCCACATATTATTCGCTATTCTTTTTTAATTAATTTTATCAAATTACAAAATACAACCCAATTTTTGTTTCGATTACATCAAAAATACTAGGTTGAAAAGACGGCAACAGTTGAGTGACCTAACGTTCAACAGAATTAAGTCTTCTAAATTGACATGACTGCTTGTTTGAATGTCATCTTACATTTCATTTTGCCACTTGTCACTTAAAAGTGGAAAGTGTTTCAATTTAAAAACTAAATGGAAAATGAAAATATTGTTTGGATAGTATTTTGAGCAAAAAGTTGTTTGGATGTTAGTTTTGAAAAAAATATTTTGAACTACATTTTGAAATATAAAGTACTAATTATCACTAAACAATTAAATACTGTCAGTTATAGTCAATTTAAAAAAGAATTTTTCCAAAAACAATCACTAAACAATAGAATCCTGCCAAATTTGTCACTCTAAGATTTTCCTTTGTTAGACTTCGTCACTGAACCACTTCTTTTTCAAAAATGGTCATTACAATAACAAAAAATGTTTCAAGTTGAAATTTAAAATGTATTTCAAAAAGTTGTTTGGATGATGTTTTTTTTTCTTTTGAGTTTTGTGTTTAAGAGATAAAATGAGTTGACAAACAAACAATAATTTTTATTTTATTTTATTTTTTTTGGGTGGATAGATATAATTGATGAGACTATATATAATGCTAAAAGAACATTTATAAGATACGTATCCATCATGGAGCAAAGCTTGTCAAGTTGATGGGCTTGTAATTCGTTAAATTTCCAAATGAAGGGCTGCAAATGTGAAAAAAGAATTCCTTCAACAATATGCTGAATCATTCAGGCTTGTAATCAGTTAAATTTCACTCTGATGGCTTCAAATCACTTTCATTGATATACTAATATTATCATCATCTTGTTAATCCATTGAGGGCTGTAATTTTGCAACCAAGTTGCTGCTGATGACATTCCAGGGTGATTTCCTGAGCGAATTTGAGGATCTGAAAGTGCAGGTGTTCAGCTGAATATCTGCATCCTACGTCGCACAACGACAGAACTTTCAATCTCCGTCTCTATAAATTAATTGTAGAATCTGGGATCGGTTTTCTCCAACAATAATGTTGCATGAGAATATGACGAGTCTTTGAATTCTCTTAGGAAAATGCATTGAATATCTCTTGGGGAAAAACGTTTGAAGGTGTATTTGGCAAACAGGAGACTCTATGAGCAGAAAATTACAATATATAAGTTATCTTTTTTAGTTGTAAAATTGTGTATATATGTAGTGGAAGTTTGAGGACAAAAATACAGTTTTAAATCATTGGTTGTAAATTGCACAACGTAAATTGCCCAGTTACTTGAAACTGAAAAGGCATTAATTGACTGATGAACATTGTAATAAGTAACCGAAGGGCAACTCTGTTAGTGAATAAACTTGTTTGGTCCAAAATTATATTGGGTCATCCAATTTAATTAGTTAGATCATTAGTCTTTTGTTTAAAATTGAGCCCAAATTCAATATGAAAAATAGACTAGAAAGAGATGATGAAAGTAGTAGAATAATCAATAGAAATATCTAGAGGAAATATCTAGATATTAGTAAGGAAATTTTTAGATATTATGTGTAGGAGGAAAATCTTGAAAGTATGTAGAATCTTCCATGAACTCCTATAAATAGGAGTTAACCCCCTTATGTAAGGTGTGTAGAGAATTGTGAGAAACCTTAAGCTAAAAGCTTAATACACTCCACTTTGTTTCTTTTTACTATAAAGTAGTAAAGCTCCCTTTCTCCCAAAATTTCCTTCTCTTCCATTTTCACTTCCTAAACTTATCACCTAAAAGATCTCTTCCTTATACCCAAAGGGTTCTCTTGCTAACAAACTGGTATCAGAGCTGGTGTTGGTCCAGCTTTGAAGTAAGATGGCAAATGGAATAATCACTTTCCAATTCCCTCAACTTACCAAAGAAAACTATGGTAAGTGGTCCATTCGAATGAAGGCGATCTTAGGCTCTCATGAGGTTTGGGAGATTGTTGAGAAAGGTTATGAGAAACCTCTAGATGAGGCTTCTTTGACTCCTGCCCAAAAGGGGGAACTCAACAAAGCAAGGAGAAAGGATCAACAAGCTCTTTCACTTATCCATCAATGTCTAGATGATTCCATGTTCGAGAAGGTAGCAAATGCTTCTACATCAAAGGGGGCTTGGGATATTCTAGAGAATGCTAATAGAGGCATTGAGAAGGTAAAAAAAGTACGTCTTCAAACTCTTAGAGGAGAATTTGAAGCTTTACAAATGGAGGAGTCCGAATCTGTTTCGGATTATTGTTCTCGTGTCTTGAAAGTGTCAAATGAGATGAAGAAGAATGGAGAAAGCTTGAGTGACACAAGAGTGATAGAAAAAATTCTTCGCTCTGTAACACCAAGCTTTGATTATATTGTGGTAGCGATAGAGGAGTCAAAAGATCTTGACTCTATGACCATTGATCAACTCATGGGTACTTTAGTAGCCCATGAAGAGAAACTAAAGAAAAGGAGGCCCAAAGAATCTTTGGAGCAAGTCCTCTACACAAAACTCTCTTTCGAAGAAAGAGATAGAGGCTTTGGACGTGGCAGAGGCCTTGGACGAGGCAATAGTGGATTTCAAGGACGTGGACGAGGAAGAGCTCGAGGAAGCTATGTTCAATCTAGCAAAGAGGAAAAAAACCAAGGCTCTCAATCTACAAGAGGTCGTGGAAGAGGTATGAAGTTTCAGAGAGGAGGTAAATCTCGAATCCAATGCTTTAATTGCCAAGAATATGGTCATTATGCAAGTGAGTGTAGAAATTCTAGTCAAGTAAAAGAAAAATCCAATCTTATGGAGATTAAAGATGAAGTTCAACTCACTCTCTTAATGGCGAGACACGAGGACAAAGGAGAGAAGAAGACGTGGTATCTTGACTCCGCTGCGAGTAACTACATGACTGGGGAAAAAAGGTTGTTCGTAGACATGGAACCAGCCAAAGGGTATATGATGTTTGGAGATGATTCTAGAGCAAGGGTTGAAGGCAAAGGTAAGATACTAATCCTTACTAAAGATGGAAGTCACCAATACATCTCAGAAGTTTATTATGTTCCAAGTCTTAAGAGTAATATCTTGAGCTTAGGACAACTTCTGGAGAAAAATTACGATATTCATTTAAAGATCATAGTGCCATAGTTAAGGATCCAGAAGGAAAATTGATTACCATTGTGCCAATGACAAGCAATAGAATGTTCTTGTTGAACATTCAACATGAGAACTGCATGAAAGCATGCTTGAAGGATGATTCGTGAATTTGGCACATGAGGTATGGTTATTTAAATTTTGGTGACTTGAAAATGTTATCTGCCAAATGCATGGTGAAAGGAATACCTCCTATCAATTAGCCCAATCAAGTATGTGAAGGATGCTTACTTGGGAAGCATTCGAGGAGTGCTTTCCCAAAAGAAGCAACATCAAGAGCTAAGGAGCCTTTAGAACTCATCCATACAGACTTGTGTGGTCCTATCTCTCTGCCATCCCATGGTAAGAACACCTACTTCATTCTATTTATTGATGATTTCTCTCGAAAGACTTTGGGTGTATTTTTTGAAGGAGAAATCACAATCGTTTGATGCCTTTAAGACATTTAAGGCTGTGGTGGAGAAGGAGAAAGGCTTGAAAATCAAAGCCTTAAAGTCTGATAGAGGTGGAGAATTCACATCAAGTGAATTCACCAAATTCTGTGAAGAACATGGGATTAGACGATTCCTTACCGCTCCTTACTCTCCGCAACAAAACAGAGTTGCGGAAAGGAACAATAGAACCATTCTCAATATGGTTCGTAGCATGCTAAAGAGCAAGAAGATGCCAAAGGAGTTATGGGCTGAAGCAGTTGATTGTGCAGTATACCTACTAAATCGATGTCCAACGAAGAGTCTAGAAGACAAGACTCCACAAGAAGCACGGAATGGGACAAAGCCCACAGTAAATCACCTACAAGTGTTTGGGAGTATTACATATGCCCACGTACCAAGCCAAAAGCGGTCCAAACTTGATGATCGAAGCGAGAAGCATGTCTTTGTTGGCTATGACAAACAGTCAAAAGGTTATAAGCTCTACAATCCAGTCACGAACAAAGTTATTGTGAGTAGAGATGTAGAGTTTGATGAAAAAGGAACCTGGGATTGGAATATTGAAGGTGGCGAAAGACTTCCTTCCTGTCATCCACGAATACGATGATGAAAGTAGTAATGCAGGTGAAGATACTCAGCAACCTCAAAGTCCACGTTCACCTTTGAATGAAGAGTCACAAAGGACGAGAAGCCTACAAGAGATCTATGAGGAAACAGAACGCATAGAGGCTCTCACACTCTTCTGTCTTTATGCTGACTGTGAACCTCTAGGTTACGAAGAGGCAGCAAGGAGTGAGAAGTGGAGACACGCTATGGATGTGGAAATAAAATCCATAGAAAAGAATCAAACTTGGGAGCTAGCCTCTCTTCCAAAAGGCCACAAAGCAATTGGAGTAAAGTGGGTGTTCAAAGCAAAGAAGAACGCTAAAGGAGAAGTTGAGAAGTACAAAGCAAGACTTGTCGCCAAAGGCTACAAGTAGAGGCGTGGCATTGACTACGAAGAGGTATTTGCTCCTGTTGCTCGCTTGGAGACTATCAGGTTAGTAATTTCTATCGCTGCCCAAAATAGATGGAAAATCCATCAAATGGACGTAAAGTCTGCATTCTTAAATGACTTTCTTGAAGAAGAAATATATGTGGAGCAGCCAGAAGGATATGTGGTCAAAGACCATGAGAACAAAGTTCTCAGGCTAAGGAAGGCTCTATATGGTTTGAAACAAGCACCAAGAGCCTGGAATACAAGAATTGATCACTATTTTCAAGAAAATGGTTTCAAGAAATGTCCAAGTGAACATGCACTCTATGTGAAGTTTTCAGGCAATGGAGATATGTTGCTTGTTTGTTTGTACGTGGATGATCTCATCTTCATGGGAAATTCGCCTAGCATGGTCGGAGATTTCAAGAAGGTAATGACTAAAGAGTTTGAGATGACTGATATAGGACTTATGTCCTATTATCTTGGCATCGAAGTCAAGCAATTGGATGATGGAATCTTCATCTCTCAACAAAGATACGCTAAGTTCGTTCTTAAGAAATTTGGCATGGAGAAGTGCAAGTCAATAGCCACCCCCATTGAATATGGAGCAAAGCTCTCAAAAGATGATGAAGGAGATGTTGTAGATCCAACTCACTTCAAGAGCCTTGTTGGAAGCCTACGTTATTTAACATGCACAAGGCCTGATATCCTCTTTGCTGTGGAACTTATCAGCCGATTTATGGAAGCACCTACTACGACACACTTGAAGGCTGCCAAAAGGATACTTCGCTACATCAAAGGTACTATTGATCTTGGCTTTTTATATTCCTCATGTGATGACTTCAAGCTTGTGGGGATTCAGTGATAGTGACTGGTCTGGAGATTTGAGCGAACGGAAAAGTACTACTGGATTCGCATTCTTCCTTGGCAACACTGCCTTTACATGGGTTTCTAAGAAACAACCTATAGTCACCTTGTCATCATGCGAGGCCGAGTACGTAGCAGCAGTGCCGGTCCAAATCCAATCAATATGAGAAGCAATTTTCCATTGGTAACAAATGGTTGTCCATTAAGCGGAGGAAAGCTTATTTACAATAAAGATTGGGTTCCCACTCTGGCAAGAACGGAATAAGAGGGTCAGCTACCCAGCTAATTTTCATAATTAAATACCGTTACTGTATAGCTAGATCTCGTTGTGAAAGACCTATTACTAGATAATTCATAGGTAGAGCCAATTCATATGTAGACCTATATTGTATATGTCATGCTATCTGGCTCAGGAGCATGTTGAAGGAGTTAAGTATGCCACAAGGAGAAGCGACAGAGATATATGTTGACAACAAGTCAGCCATCGATCTGGCAAAGAATCCATTCTACCATGATCAAAGCAAGCATATTGATACAAGGTACCACTTCATAAGGGATGTGGCCAAGAGGATCGTTGAGTTGAAGCATACAAGATCACGTGATCAAGTTGCAGATATTTTCACCAACCCACTCAAAGGAGAAGACTTTACAAGATTGAGGATAATGCTTGGAGTCACCGAACCAAGTTGAAAGGGGGGTGTTAGTGAATAAACTTGTTTGGTCCAAAATTATATTGGATCATCCAATTTAATTAGTTAGATCATTAGTCTTTTATTTAAAATTAAGTCCAAATCCAATATGAAGAATAGACTAGAAAGAGATGATGAAAGTAGTAGAAACTTCTACTAAAATATCTAGATATTGTAGAATAATCAATAGAAATATCTAGAGGAAATATCTAGATATTAGTAAGGAAATTTCTAGATATTATGTGTAGGAGAAAAATCTTGAAAGTATGTATAATCTTCCATGAACTCCTATAAGTAGGAGTTAACCCCCTTATGTAAGGTATGTAGAGAGTTGTGAGAAACCTTAAGCTAAAAGTTTAATACACTCCACCTTGTTTCCTTTTACTATAAAGTAGTAAAGCTCCCTTTCTCCCAAAATTTCCTTCTCTTCCATTTTCACTTCCTAAACCTATCACCTAAAAGATCTCTTCCTTATAACCCAAAGGGTTCTCTTGCTAAAAAAGTCAAGAACAGTGTGAAAGTATCAAATTGACCTCCTGTTGGTAGTGGGCCTTGAAGATTGTTGTCTGAGACATTGAAGGATGACAAAAATGTGGAGATTTCTCAGTGACGCTGGAGTTTCACCTGACAAGTGGTTTTTGAAAGGTCCAGTTTTTCAAGTTAATAAGAGAACGTGTTAGGAATGCTTCCTGAAAAAAGGTTGTCACTGAGATCTAAATTATGTATAAACTTCAACCGGCTGATCTCAACTGGGATGTTTCCACTAAGGTTATTTGATCTCAAATATGGTGTTGGGGGGAGGCTAGATATTTGTGTGTATTGCATATTGGAAGTATTCTCAAGCTTGACAAACACCGGCAAATGCAAGCTAGTTTGATCCACTTCATCTATAGCCTTGCTTCCTAATCTTGGCATTCTGGTAAGTTCTACAGGAAAGTTTCCAGATAGACTGTTTTGAGACAAATCCAAGTAAAATAAGTTTGGCAGACTCCCAAAGAAACTTGGAATGGAGCCTGTTAGATGATTATGTGATAAGTCAAGGACCTTCAGCTTCCGCAGCTTTGCCAGCCAACCTGGAATATGGCCGCTAATGTGGCAACCACCTAGACCAAAAACTTGGAGATTTTGAAACCCTTTAGAATCGATGAAATTGTCATCATCATCTCCTTGCATTGCATCGTCATAGAAATTCAAGGAAAGAAGCACAATGCTGAGAGATCTACAACGAGATAGAATTCTAATTGCTGCATTGACATTAGTCAGGGAGTTATTAGAAAGTGAAAGAAACGAAAGTGATTCTAGCTCCTGAATGTTTTGTGGGATTTCTCCATTCAGATGATTCATGGCAAGCCTAACTGCTATTAATGACTTGCAAGCAAAAAGGGTCGCTGGAAGGGTGCCGTAGAAAGCATTATTTCCGAAGTCAATCATGCGAAGTTTCACAAATTTGGAGAAATCAAAAAGAGAAAGATCACCAGTAAGAAAGTTGCCCCTGAGGGTTAGTACTGTGAGTTTCGTACAATTTGAAAGAGGAAGGGGCAGAACACCATTGAGATTATTCGAGTTAAGGAGTAGGAGTTCCAGGTTGGAGAGTTTTCCGATTTCTGGAGGGATCACACCGGTCAATTCATTGGAATGCAGGGAAAGGACCCTAAGTTTATTTAGACTGGCGATTTCACTGCTGAGTGAACCATTGATCTTGTTCACAGGAAATGAGAATTCTTGCAATTTTGGCAACTTGTACATATATAGGGGCAGAGGTCCAGATACATCATTGAACCCCCGCTCGTAAAGTTTCCAACCGTAGACAATGTCGTACCTCTTGGGTTATAGAGCCATTGAATTGATTGTAAGAGAAATCAAGAACTTCGATGGAAGGGGAAACACTACATATGAACCAAGGAATCAAAGCACTGATAAGTCAGGTCAGAATGCCAGAAATTGCACATATTATAGCGACGAAAGAAGGCGACCGACAGCAACAGGTGATTTTTTTTCATTTTTTTTTATCAGTTATGCACTCTTTCTTTGTAGTTAGTTATCATCTTAGATTGTCCTAATTGTTTATTCCATCCATCTCCAATCAGCATTATGATGTTTGGTTTTTGGGACGAAAGCGTTTACTTTTGAGAGCATCTTACTGATGCAGAACTATGAACTATTTTGCCCGTTTAAACTACACAGAAACAGAGTTGTTTATGTAGAGTCAATACTAAAATGGACGCAAAGAAGAAGAGATGGCATTTCTGAGAACTGATATGTTGTACATTAACGGTCAAGTCTGCAACTCAAACTGATATATTTAATGATTAATATGGATGGATCCAGAGGGACATGGTAGTCAATTGTCGTGGATAAATGGTTTCTAGATTGGACTAATTCTGGGCTGAAGTTGAAAGAAAATGTAGTTAGGAGGGTAATTAGAGTTCTCGCATGAAGGATGGAAAATTTCGCATCAACTAAATATAACATGTTTTTATGAGTTACAATTTTCAAGTAGTGTTCATGTTATTTGTAAAATAAAGAGGTATCAAGCCGCTTTAGTCTATGATTTATTTGAAACAAGGTTTATATAATGTATTCTTGTTGTACCACAAATTGTCGCTCTAAAACTGTTATTATTCAGGGGACTAAAATGTCCAAATCATCCGACGCCTCTAACATTAACATTTCAATATCGTAGTCCAAAACATTATATTTTCACACTTTTTTTTGTCTTATTTCACTGTTTCGACCACTTTTCCGTTCAACTCGATATTCAACAGTAGTTGACTTGCCGGAATCAGGGGTATTTTCGTCTTTTGACTTAATTTGAACTTTTATTGAAATTTAAATCATTAAAAATATCATAAAATTCACATTTAATTATTTAATTGCTAAAATATTATTCATTAATTTTAAATATTATTATAAAATTTAAAACTTACATTATTTTTTCTTTTTCCATTTATCATTTATGCTGCATACAAAATAAATATTAATTACGTTCCATTTTTAACTCCATGTCACTCAAAAATTTTACTGCGCTATAGTAACTAATTCAAAATTCAATTTTTTGTTTAAAATCACCTACCAATTTTTTATTTGGTCGAAGTAAAAAATCCAGTGGACCCAAAGGGAAGAAAATTGAGGGGGCGAAAATCCTGATAAAAAATGGGTTATTTTAATTTATAGTGTGAATTGGAGATATAATTTAAAATGTGGTTTTAGTGAAAATTCAAAAAGTTGTTAGGATAGAAATTCAAATAAAATAATATTATCTATACACCACCACCTCCACACCTCCACCGACGCCGCCCGCTGCCAGACCACCTCCTGCCGCCGTCGGACCCCCGCCGCCCGGCGACCGGCCAGCCGGATTCCGGCGAGATTCCGATGACTTTGCCGGAATCCGGCCGATCGCCGGCCGGCGGCGGTCCAGCAGCGGGCGGTGTCGGTGGAGGTATGGAGGTGGTGGTGTAAAATAATATTATTTTATTTGAATTTATATCCCGATAACTTTTTGAATTTTCACTAAAATCACATTTTAAATTATATCTTCAATTCAAAGCAATAACTAAGCCAAAAACTTAAATAAACCATTTTTATCCGAATTTTCACCCCACAATTTTCTTGCTTTTTTTTTTTTAAATTTGAATTTTTAATTAATTATTATAACGCGGTAAAATTTTAGAAATAACTCAATATTTATTGTAGCTGTCAAAGTAAAAAATCTTGGTTTTATTTTATTTTTTTTTAATTTGAATTTTGAATTATTTATTGTGACTCGGTATATTTTTAAAGTTACAGTGGACGGTTAAAAGTGCAACATAATTAACATTTATTTTAGTAAAGAAAAAAGTAATTTTGAAAATAATTTAAATTTTGAAATAATATTTTAAATTAATAAATAATATTTTAACAATTAAATAATAAATGTGAATTTTTATAATATTGTTAATGATTTAAATTTTAATGGAAGTTTAAATTATATAAAAAGATAAAAATACCCTTGATTTCGGCATGTCGACTGCCGGTCAACATCGAGGTGGACGGAAAAGTGGTCGAAACAGTGAAATGAGACCAAAAAAGTGTGAAAACATATTGTTTGGGACTACGATATTGAAATGTTAATGTTAAGGACATAAAATCAAGTAAGCCCAAATGTAAGGGACCATTTGGACATTTAGTCTTATTCAGGACTTCAATTTTATATTCCTCTAACGGCTTTCAAACCTTTCAAAACTATCAGGGGCCATAAATTTGCAACCAAGTTAGTTTTGGTGACACCATTCTGATTTCTGAGAGTGAATGTAATTAATGGTGCCTTTGAACTCTTTTGGCATTCAAAACAGCCCACAGACATGAAGTTGAAATTGCAGATGCTCCAAGGGCTGCGGTGCTGTGAGCTTATATCATGGTCGCAGATTTAATGTAATCAATACCAACCTGCAGAATCACAATGATCATTTCAACACAAAAAATTGCGTAACCATCCACTAGAAAAACGATAAGTATAATCATTTTGAAATGTAGAGAGTATATAATAATAATCTGATGACACATTGTTGTCAAGAAATGTATGCAATAATAGATCCTATAATAATATGATGACACACTAAAGTTTCACAAAGAGCAAATTATATAAGGTGTTGTAGGTCCAGGCAGAAATTAGTGGACCTTTATTGAGAAGTATTCATTTTAATCCAAATACTCTCTCTGGCCCGCAATGATTGTTCAATTTGAATTTTTCATATCTAGTACAAATTATATTCCTTCCATCTCATAAAAATAGTCTACATTGAATTTTGAGTTTTGTACTATTTTTAGTACAAATTTGAAAACTCAATGTAGACTATTTTTTTTTTTTTTTGGACGGAGTTAGTACTAAACTTGAACATCAAAATCAGGTTTTAACAGAGAATTGATGACCAAAAACCATTATTAATTAACTATAAAAACCGAATAGACAGTTGAGATAATAAGTAAATGTCGAATCTCATATGGATAACAATAAGAATAAAAAGAAAGAAAAAAAAAATGTAGATGACATCTAAATAAAGTCGACTTAAACCTATATGATATAATTTTTAAGTTAAAATTAAGATTAGAGCTTCTACCAAGTTGACTGAGGGGATACATCCCAACGTTTACATTGATAAATAAATTTATTTACATTGAATTTGTTAAAGAAGTCAATAAATTGGTAAATAAATTTACATTGAATTTATTGACATGTAAATAAATTTGTTAAATGAAACCTATATGATAAATAAATTTACAAGTCAATAAATTTATTTACATTGAATTTGTTAAAGAAGCCCAATTTTAACTAGGATGCATGAGTGGATACATCTCACGTTTAAACCAGTGTGCTAATTCATCCCAATGTTTTAAAATTGATCAATTACGTCCCAAGGTTATTAAAATTGAGCAGATACATCTCATGACCTACAAAACATAAAAAATGACCTGATATAATAGGTAAAAATCTATTGGATCTCATATTTATTCTTTTTTCTCATTTTTTTTAATTTTTGGGTCATTTTTTAGTTCATTAAAAAAAAACAAAATTTCTATATTAAAAAAACTCAAAAAAACTTACTTAATTAATCAAAATAATTTACGCATCACAAATGAAATAATTTATAATTTTGGATAAACTCAAAATTAATTAATTTTTGAATACACGGTATATATATGTGTGTGTGTGAAAGCATAATCATTCTTTTTTCACTCAAAATAAGAATTTTTTTTGGAAAGTTTCTTCAAGTTTTATTGAAAAAATTAAGATGAATCTAATTATAAAATACATTAGATTCATTAAAAATAAATTAAAGTTTTTAGTTTCTCCATTTATAAATGTTGTTTTTGTTTCAATAAACAAAAAAAAGTTTAAAAAATTCAAAAAAAACAGAAGTAAAAATGTTAAATATGGGATCAAAATGATTTTACTTGTTATACCCGGTCATTTTTGTTGGTTTGCAAGTCATGGGATGGATCTGCTCAATTTTGATAATCTTGGAACGTAATTAACTAATTCTAAAATTTTGGGATGAATTTGCTGATAAGGTATAAACGTTAGGATGTATACATTAATATTCTCATTTTAACTACAAGTGAAAGAGTTCTCCCGCCCTTCGTATAGTAACATCAATTCTATTATCCCTCCTCCAGATTACATACTTGAAATAATAAATAATCATTATCAAAATTTATCTTGTTAGCAACTTACTCAAATAACCTTACACTTTGGTATAAACACAATTTGTGCCAGAGATAAAACCGTACGTGGCACCTGAACCCCACGATTTGCCACGTATGACCACGTTAAATAACCCAAATTTATTGCACATATAAACTCCCTTCTGTTTTCCTTAATTTTTTTTTATTTAATTTTTAGAAACCAATAACAATAACTGCAAAACTGCAAAGAAAATCCTTGTCTATATATAATCTGCCCAAGTACCGTACGATGTTCATTTCCCAACTGTAAATTCAAATTCGGAGCAAAAGCTTGCATTGGCGTCCGGTTTCGCTTCTGACAGGGTTCGCTTTTCGTTCGAGTTCTTTGGAGCTGTAGCTCAAAGCCTCTAAGTAAGTTGCAGGTGTATTCTTGTTTGCTTACTCGTTTTTTTAACCCTTCAATTGTTTGCTACACGGGTTACCCTTTTTTTTTTGGGGTGGGGGGTGTTGCGTATAGATTGATAGCAACCTAATTGATTAGGGATGAGAGGGATAGGAAAGTGGTAAATGGGACTGTTTTGGCTGCTTCATTAAGGCCATATTATAGTGTGTTAATGGGAAGAAATTGCACAAATTAGGTCTTTAGGAATTGGCTTATGGAAAATTTGATATATGGTAATAAGTAGTTAAAAGTGTAACCAGCATTTACTGGCGAAACCGTGCTGATTGATTACGAAACCTTTTCTCTTGTTTCTATTATAATTGAAGACTTGTTCAATCTCAAATTACTCCTTTACTTCCAGACATTAGGTATTTTTAATATTTCTATAATCAATTAGAGTGAACTTGTACGGAATGGACATTTTGTGGCTATTCGATTTCTCTGTTTATCTTGTCCCCGAAATAGGGATTTATTCAAGTATGTGACGTCTCTGAGGAGTTTGTGCGCACAAGTTGTCCTGTAGTGAGTGGTTCTTCTCTTGTTTTATTTGAATTTTAATTTGATATTTGGTGTTTGCAGACATGTTTACTTATAATCATGTTTAATGAGAACGTGAGAATGTTGGATGACAACATGACGTTTGTTTAGTTCCATACTTCTCAATTTGCAATCTAATCAGTTTGCCTTCTGGCATTTCGTTCCTTACCGCAAATGCTTCTCCTCCTTCTATTGTTAACTATCTTCCCTCGTTTTTACTTTTGTTGATGCCTTGATTTTTGGACATGCTACCTATTACATGACAAGTCTCAGACCTCAAAAAACTGCCAGATTTATGACTTTCTCTTTCTAGTGAGTTTGGAGAGAGAAACTACTCCATTGCACCACACAAGTTTATCTCCTTTGTTTCAATTTTACTCAAGAGTACATATTGTTTCATGTGAGTGTTAACTGGTGAATTACATTAAATTCCATGAATTGAAAAAGTGCCGTGTTTGCAGTAACCTTGTTTGCATCTTATGTTTCCCTGATGAGATGTCTTACGATTGATACAGACATTTAGCTTCCTCTTCATGGACTCTGTGAACCTAAATCAGTAGATTTTCCAAACTTGCAAGGGTGATGAAAGTTCCATAGAAAGAAATTTATAAAACTTGGTGCATAAAAGAAGCTGGGACGAGTTTCTCACTTGTTTAACAAAAAAGTAAATAAAAAGAGAGATGGCAACATGCCTTCTGTTGGAACTGATAGTTATTGCTGATAAGAACTCCTTGATACATGTACTTTTGATGTACTCAACGTTTTCTGGCCGGTTGTTATTCAGAAATAATCGCTGCTTTGTGAGTCATAAATTGAGATAGAAGTTCTTAAGTTGCTCTTCCTATTTTTACTAAACTGTTTATAAAGATTTGTCTCGTTTGAATGGTTTTCATGCTGTCCCGACCTCCGTGTGGGTGTCTTAGTTTCTGTATACGTGTCTTTATTACTTTTTCACTGTTATATTCTCTTGTTAATGAATTTTTTTTCATCATATATAGGACCAGCATGATCTCAATTGAGCAATCTTCTCAAAATTCCAAGTCTATGAGTTCTGATGATGATGAATCAGCTCTTCTTGATGATGTAAGTTCAACTCTTTTCATTTGCCAACTTTTGCTTGTGGGGTACCTTGGTTACTATATATGCTTGTGACGAAAGTTGTGAGCTCTAATGTTCTGCTGTTCCTTGAGTCAAGAGATCGATGGTATAACTAAGTTTATGTTCGAGTTTCAGGAGACCTAAATACCCTTAGTATAGCACTACATACAGAACAGAAAAATGTTTAGTGCTGCATGATTTTGCTATATTCCAATGTATCTTTTTGCAGTAGTAATAAGCTGACCCTGCTGTGTCATAGACTTGCTCATTCTGATTCAAAGCTGAAAACTTCTTGAACATACTAACATGAGATTGAAGCATCACCCATAGCTGGCATTTGAGTTTGACTTTACTGTACACACATTACTCCTATCTTATTTTTGGTGCCATACATACAAATTCTTATGATACGTAAGAAAATTTTCTGTATTTCCATTGTGGGTATTGGACTGGTGCTACAGGAAAATATGTTTTTACAGAGACGCATTACTCCAGGTCACCATCTTTTGGTTCATATGTTTATCAGATGTGAAATTTTTCCTCGTGTTACAGGATCTAATGCGTTTCTGCACATTATGCAAAGTTATTCACCAATTTGGCTTCTTGTGACCTCTGCTCTAGTTCCTACCATTCCTATTAATGTTGCATTTGTTTGTCACTCAATCCCTGCAATCTCACTGACTGATTTCTGCTACCCGTTTCAGGTGAAAGTATGTGATATATGTGGGGATGCAGGTCGTGAAGATTTGCTTGCTGTTTGTAGCAAGTGTGGAGATGGTGCAGAACATATGTAGGTTACTGTTTGTTTTGGCACCTTTTAATTTGTTTTTGCTTTCTGCATCTAACTCCTATTACTTACATGTTTAATGCTTGGAGTATAACATTCTAATAATTCTGCTGTGTAGATATTGCATGCGCACAATGCTGGAAAAAGTTCCTGACAACAGTTGGATGTGTGAAGAATGTGTGCTTTCAGAAGATAAACATAAGGCGTCAAAAGCCAAAATGGAACAATTCATTGCCTATGGAAGGCAAAACTCCTTAAATCAAACTTGCAGAAGTGAAGGGCTATCAAGAGGATCTGGTCGTAGAATACATGCTCAACTGAATAGTACAGCATTAGTCAACAGAAGCAGCAGGGAGAAAGTCAGTGCTCCTTCATCTCCTGAGAGAATTTCGAACAATCAAATATCTGCGCTAACAGGAAGACCAAAAGCAGTAGGAAGCCAAAGTAAACCATCTTCTATAGCAAAAGACGGCAAAGGTCCTTACCCTCAGAATCTGGCAATAAAGCCAGGTCATGAGCTCTCTTCTAGAGCCCGAAACATGCAGGAAGATGCCACCTTTTCTTCTTTATCTGGTGAAGATCTGCCTATCATTCTCTATAATGGCATTCTGTAATTTTGACTCATTAAATTTATTGGGGGAAATGTCCAATCTCATTCATGCTAAAACAAGTCTTCAATGTGACAGGAAACTTCACTAAATCGAAGTCATTCAGCGGTTCAGATAAACGGGTGAAAGTCCTCCGTTTAGATGAGATTCCTCAAAACCAGAGAAAAGTTTCTACTGGGAGAGCATTCCGTAAATCTGTGTCATTTAACGACGCAATTTCTGGTCGCTCGAATGCAGATGGTCAAAAATTGCAGAGGATTCCACCAAATACTTACGAGGACCGTGATTTAAAGAGATTAAGGACCATGAAAGAACATGATTCAGTTGAAATATCTAAAAAATCGCAGTTTTCAAGGCCTCATTTAAGCTCCCAGGGAAATGGTTCATCTATTTCTGCTTCACCATGTGATATAGCCTCGACATTACGTGTTGAATCAAAATCTACAGAAGCTTTTGGAACCAAAATTAAGGATAAAGATGTCTTTAGTTCAAAAGACAAAGGTAACTCATTTAATAAGGCCAACCAATGTTCATGAATCCTTCTTACACTCTGTATATATGTCCTGTCTCATTGGGCTAGGTTTTGTCAGCCTACTCTTTGTGTGTATGTTTTTACGTATTTTTATATTTTCCAGTAAAGCTCCTGCTTCTTTGTTTTGTTCTCCTCTGATGCCATTCCTGAAAAATTCCTTAAAAGTAAGTTGAAGAAGTTTTTGCATGCTGTAGATGATGTCATCCAGAGTTCACAGACTCTCACAAGTTCTGGTGCTTCTGAGGAGATACTGCATAGAGGTGAAAACTCTGATATCTCACTGGCAAAGGTTCCAATGAGGTCTTCTAGTGCAATTGGAGAGGATGCACTGGCTTCTCCAAAGGAATCCGGTAATCAAACTGAAAATGGTCGTCAGACATTAGTTGTTAGCTCTAGGAATACTGATTCTAGTGCGAAAGAAAGTGGAAGTGAATATACTGGCCGAAGTGAACAAAATCGTTTTGCTAACAGTTCTTCAGTTTCTATTCTTGATGGAGCGATGGTGAAAGACAAAAGTGGGAGTGATTGGATGGATCTTGCTAGCCCATCCTACAAACCGCTTGCAATCTTGGCTTTTCCTAAGCTGGATTATATATGGAGGTAATGCTGTGTTTTCTTTGGCTGCTCATTTTTTCTGGCTGCTAAAATAGTATTCGTGCACTTCGCAAAGTAAACATTGAAACTTAGGTTACATCAAATGTATTCTGAAACTTTGTCAGGGGTGAGTTTGAAATTCAGAGTGGGAGGCTTCCAAAGGTCCTGTACAGGATTCAAGCACACCTATCTACTCTTGCCTCACCGAGCATTCCTGAAGCTGTGAAGAAGTTCTCTGACAAAGTCCTTTTGGAGGAAGTTTCTCGCTTGAATGCATGGCCTGCTCAGTTTCAGGAACATTATCCCCAAGACAAAAGCATTGGGCTTTACTTTTTTGCGGAAGATACTACAAGGTGCGCATTTCCTACCAAAGCAATTCAATTCTTTTGATATGAGAGTTTCTGATGATTATTTAATCTGTTCTTGTTCAGCTATGGGAACTACAAGAGCTTGTTGCATTGTATGACTGATCAGGATCTAGCTCTAAGAGGCAATCTCAATGGGATTGAAGTTCTTATATTCTCATCTAACCTGCTTCCAGAGGGCTCAAAGTGTATGAACTGAGTTTCATCCTTCCTTTCACTTGAGATTCAATTTGATGTCCTCGATCACAAACATGCACACTTTTGAAGTTTATTTGCATCCTAGAGTTGTTATCATCATTGTTTCTTCTCTTATGTACAGTGTGGAACGGCTTCTTGTTTTTGTGGGGAGTTTTTAAAGTGCAGAAAGGTCAAAAGTTGCAGCCATCCTGAGACATCAGCTTCACTTCTGTTGTACATTACCTTTGCTTTGAGCTCTTATCGACACTGAACAAATTAAGTCCTTTCAAGAACATAAGCAACAGACATGCATTCAACTATCAGGTAATGTCTGTCCTGTTTCACTGCTTCTACTTCCTTTCTGTGTGATTTTCTGATTATTGCTTCTCCCCATATTTACTCGTGTCTCTGCTCTTCGTAGATTATGTTGGTGAAATTCATTTTGCATGGATGTCTGCTACAGGTGACTGACTGTAGGAACGGTTCTTCTGTAGCTTTAATCTTCAGTGGAACGTTTAAGTACTGTAAATCTGGCGAGGAGTAGAAGTACTGTGCTCCCTAATCCATTGTCATTAAGACTCAGAGGCTATAATATCTTCCATGTACTTGTTTCCAACAATTGTGCTTCGTTACTAGATCCAATCAGAGTTACTCAGAAATGCATGTCATCAGTTTTGATGTGCTGTATATAACTTTACCTGGACATAACCAGTTCCTATATTGAAAGGCGGGACGGTTTACTTGAATGCCGAGTCTTCTTATTAGTCAAGCGTGCTACTTGCAATCAAAAAAGTGCAGTCGCATCCCTAGTTTACCAGTCTACGTGTATGAAATTACAACGAGAAACGGCTTCATTTACTATCATCTAGTGATCTTTAGCTTTGCTGTTCAGATTTTTGAAGATGGTGTAATGCATCTTAAAGGTCGATTGACCGCATAGAATCTTTCGGTCAATAGGGTGGATCTGCCGTTTGCTGATATCTCTACTCTAAATAGAGACTGTTTTGAGTTGTGAAATTATCACTAGGTTCTAAGGCTCAGAAGTTATATGTATCGACATTTTTCGATACGACTTTTGAGGTTTCTTAAATTAATATCAAAACAAAACAAAAGCTGCTCTTTGTAGTCGTTTTCGTTTGAATAGTTGAAGAGACCTTTACAATGTCATCTGATGTGACTCTGAGGTAGGTGATATCCACCAACCAATATACACTAGAGGAGAAGAAAAAATGGCAAAACAAAGTAACATTGAGTTTGTCATTTAACCAGTTTGAAAAAACAAAATTGAGGAAAATGATATACAGCTGAATGTGTAGTGGGACGGGGAGTTTGATTCTATAATTTGAAAAATTGTTAACATGTGAATGGTTATCAAGCGTGTGGTTTGGTGATTTTTGCAATTTTATTAGTCACTATCAAACCAATTTTTGCCATCATAACTCAATAAATAAATAAACAACTTTAGCAAGAAGGGAAAATGTTTCCCTTTAGGCCATTATTACAAAAATATTGAAGAAATACAATGCATTCTGAACGGTGAACACAAGTCACCTAACTAAAATCTGGAAAAACAGAAAAATCAAAACAGACTGGGATTATGATAATCTTTTGTGTATTTTTTAGGCCGTCCAATTGTTTTTTTTTTTTTTTTTCATATTGTGCACGGTGTCTTGAGTGCATTGCACTCAGACTAATCCACACCGAGTCGGGTCGGTCTCCTTTCGGAGGGAAAGCTCTCTCAATATTGCTTTTTACATTCACGAGACTCGAACCCGAGACCTTGTTTAATGAAACCAAAAGCACCGTACCACTTTGGCCAAGCAAGTGTTAGTAATTGTCATTATGAACCCGCTACAAACACGAGTAACACAAGAAGGGTTTCAGTTCAAATGTCTCATTCCAGATTTAATTGTTCAATCGGTAAACGTAATAATCCATTCAATTTATTGAAAACAAACGTGAATTCTGCCAAAAGTTGTTGCTCACACTGTATATAGAGATTCTCAGGGAGTCAGGATCATCACTGATCGGTTTAACAGTCTAAATTAGGATTAGAGACTAATAAATCATTCAGTTGGTAATCACTATAATGTAAATTTTTTTTGTTGGTTTAGACCCGATTTCGATCTCAATTGACCAAACCTGAATTTTTACCCCACTGTACAAACAGACGTATAATTCTACCAACTGGGTCATTCATATTTTCGACATTATGACTGTATTTGCCGCAATCTTGTGATTGATTGGTACCTTTCAACTTGAAGAAAATATAAATGACAAAGTTTTAGGAATTGGGAATCAGACTCAGCCCACAATTCAGGAACTCTTTCCTTTTCTTAATTCCTGATGGGAATTGATGGATGTTGTATTTAGATTGCATAGAGGCTGAAATTGGTCCAAAAATTCTGTCCTCATTTTCTCTACCTTCCCTTTCTGGTTGGTATTGCCTCTGCCCTTTTTTCTTTTGCTCTTTTCCTCCCCAGAAACTGAAAATATATTCTAAAAGCTTTTTTCAATATACTATTTGTCAATTGGCCAACCAATTGGCACAGAATTTATATATATATATAATACTTGTCCTCATTTAGTCTGTTTGTCTCCAGTCTGCAAACTCATGTGGCTCTGATTCTCACAAGATTCATTCAGGCAATTTCACTACTCCTCCACCTCCTTCTTCCTTTTCTATATTTGCTTCTGCAAATTTTCTAATTCACTGACCCTCCTGATTTTGATTCTGTTAATAACATGGGATTATTGTGGTAAAATCTCTTTAAGAATAAAGGTAACTTCTTTATCATCAATACTTGAGCATTAATAGTTTGATGATTCTCTGGGATAATCAATTAATTGCTAGTGTCACTGGTAGACTAGTTTTTATGGGCAGAACATAAATAATACTATATATATACCTAACCAATTTGGTGGACTTTTTGTTTACCCGTTCCCTTTCAGCGAATCTTCTTCGCTTGGTCCTTTTTACTGTTTTTTTAACCCATTTCTAAGGAATACGAACTAACTCTATTGATTCCATATCAATTACAGATTTGGGAGTGACGAGTTGGGCTTGTTTTTTATTCGCTTATCTTTTGGCTGCTGTTCTCATCTTGGTTCAGTGAAGAAGAACCAGACACGGTAAAGTTTTAAACATCACTACCTATCTCGATTTATTTAGCATTGATTGTTGCTGGATTCTTGTTTGTTGAACGGATTTAAGTTTATCATCTATTGTATTGGAGTAGTGAACAGGCGTGCCACCATGTGCTTTCTGCATCAGAACTTGTAGTCTTGTTCTGATTAAAAAAAGGTGGCAAATTTATCGTACCCATCAGCTGAAATCTGGCTCTGTTGAGAGAAATTTGGCAACCTTTTTTTGTGTTCGTGAATGTTTGATATAAGTACTCAAGAGTTTGTTCAGACTAGTAAATCCTGTTAAATCGATTAGATCAAATAGAGATTATTCCTTTAAGGTACAATTAAGTATGCTGTGAGACACGTTATAGTTTCAACCAAGAAGATGTAGAGTTTGCTGTTTGTTTTAGTTGAAAACTGGTATCTTCATTCATGTTATTCTGTTTGTTCGATTGTTAGTTGTCTCTGCTGCCTTCTCAATTCAGCCTGGTCCTTGTGGTCTTTTATTGCCTTGGGAGAATGTTGCATTTCCATTTTCCAGTAGAGGGTGAATGTTACTTATTCTCATGTGCCTACTATATCTGCAAACTACCTCCTTTTCCTACGGCTTCTTCTGAAATAGTTTCTCAGAATAGTCCTTTTTCATAGTCGTATTGGTTAAAATGTTAGTGGACGATGTGGAAAGGGCATGTTAAATACTATTTCTCCAGTTTGGCAATTCTATGGAACATCTTTTTTTTGGTTAGCACTATGGGTACCGTATTTGATTGCATTTTGATGGCCTTATAATTGTCCTGGTTCCAACCAGCTATTTATCTTTCCGTAATATTCCTAACGGCTTTATGTAAACATATTTGTATTGATCTGGCAATGTGGTTCAGCCTTGCCCTCAAACATCACTATGAAGCAGAATTTGATGAGATTCTTAAGAATGTTGTTTGTTTCCCTATGTACTTCTAGAGATATTTGAAACTTACTTTTCTGCAGATTCTAGAATTCTTTCATGTGAGAAGGGCCACTTGATACTTTTCTAATCTAGCAATGTTGCTAAAGCAAACGTATTTGTGTGAGAAAAACGAAAAACAGCTTACTCAGACCCCATTTAGTAAAACGTTGGACTTTGCGTATCCAACAACAAATAGCCAGATAATATCTTGCAGTCATTGAAGATTTTCCTGTTCTGTCTTTTCTGGTTTGCTACCAGTTTCGATTCAAGCTGATTCTTGCATGTTTTCGTCTAGTATCTCAATGGCAATTTCTGTCATGATGGAACTGCATTCTTCTTATCTATTTCCGCTTCTCATACTCAGTAATTCCTTAAGTGCACCAAGCCAATAAACTTTTTTAAACAGGAGCTACATTATTATCTCATGGGTAGATTGTAGACCAAGAGGCGAGAAGAGTGCGGAAGAGTGGGCTAAAAGGATGAGGTTAATGATTTAGAGAAGCATGATGGTGTGTTGATTTGTAGAGAACAATACATTAGAATGAAAGGGAAATGGAATGATCTTAGAGGAAAACTTTTACGCTTACCCTTAACTGAGTCACCATAAATTATACGTGAATCAGTGAATGGCTAGGCAATATTCTGGTACCTTTTTAAGTATTATCTTCTTGTGCTTCTTTTTAGTAGCTTTTGTTTGTTGATTTCTGATTTAAGAAGTTACAACTGTACCTTTGGCTGGAAAACAAGGAAGTGTTGGCCGAACAGTGTTAATCATCGAGCACACTCGTATAATTGTTTCCATCAGTGCCCTAACCTTTTCTTGATGCGTACATATCTAATATTAAATTTTGATTCTATTCACGAACTTGTCAGATGGGTGAAGTAGCCAAGGACTTAACTGCTGGTACTGTTGGAGGGGCTGCACAGTTGATTGTTGGGCACCCCTTTGACACTATCAAAGTGAAGCTCCAGAGCCAGCCAGTTCCCCTTCCCGGCCAACCTCCCAGGTACTCAGGGGCCATGGATGCTGTCAGACAAACCCTTGCAGCTGAAGGCCCTAGAGGTTTATACAAAGGTATGGGAGCTCCACTTGCCACCGTAGCAGCCTTCAATGCTGTTCTCTTCTCTGTAAGGGGGCAAATGGAAACTCTGGTGAGATCTGAACCAGGAGTACCACTTAGTGTGAACCAGCAAGTAGTTTGTGGGGCTGGAGCTGGAATTGCCGTTTCATTCCTTGCCTGCCCCACGGAGTTGATAAAATGCAGGTAAACTTTCATTATCCACGCTCTCATGATGCCTATGTCCTAATTTTATTTGTAAATTTCATATCATACAGCATGGGAAATGGTTCATGATTTGCTCAAGCATTATACGAAATCAATGGATTCGTATGACTTTTGACCTTTCATACCCCTTGGTTTCCAGTATGAGGGTTTCACGCTTAAAATTGTTTAGGCTGCATTAGAGAAACTGGAATTTTTATGTTTAATGTAAAGCCCTCATATCAGGAACATCCATTTGTCCTAGTATTTCCAAGCATTGTTGTCTGGATTGGGGGTGGCCGGGTGGGTGCAAATGGAACTTTATTTTCTGGTTTGTTGCTGACTGGTTCTAAAAAAGAATTTATTAGCCTTCAAACTATTCTGACTGCATATTGGAAGTGCTCTGTTTATCTTTGCAAGAGATACTATAAAATACCTTGTTGGAAATTGTAATCCTTGTTTTATATATGTAATAAAATCAGAATAATTCCCTAGGAAAGGCTCTCACTCGAGTCCATTGGAACATTTCTATCGCTTTTCAGGTTGCAAGCCCAAAGTGCACTAGCAGGTACAGGCCCTGCTGCCGTCGCAGTCAAATACGGAGGGCCAATGGATGTGGCAAGACATGTTGTGCAGTCAGCTGGTGTGTCAGGTTTGTTCAAGGGTTTAGGTCCGACATTGGCACGTGAAGTACCAGGAAATGCTGTAATGTTTGGTGTTTATGAACTGATAAAACAGCGAATGGCTGGAGGCCAAGACACATCTAGCCTTGGAAGAGGATCTCTTATGCTTGCAGGAGGCTTAGCTGGTGGTTCTTTCTGGATGTCTGTCTACCCAACCGACGTTGTGAAGAGCGTAATTCAAGTAGATGACCACAAAAATCCCAAGTATTCAGGTAGTTTCGATGCTTTCAGAAAGATCTTGAAAGCTGAGGGTGTCAAAGGTCTGTACAAAGGATTTGGACCTGCCATGGCCCGAAGTGTCCCAGCGAACGCAGCTTGCTTCTTGGCATATGAAGTTACGAAAGCTAGTTTAGGTTGATTATTTTCATCAATCAAAGAACAAAAAGGTGTTTAGGTGATTTATCTGATGATTCTTCATTTCACATTGTCAGACAATTCTTTTGGCAATCAACGAGTGTGATGTGCCAGAAACTTAATGATTTAACTAGTTGATGGGTTGATTATCTGCTGTTCTCTAGTATGCCTTTGAAAAGGATTAAAGGAAGGCAAGCAAAGAACAGGGGTTATTTGATTTGATACTTGAGATGACCATCCTCTGATCCTTATACTTGAAAAGTTTCATTAACATTGCTGTTCTTAGTTGCTTCACAGTGATATAAGAACTAACCATTTATCTGCACCTGTCCTGTCAATGGCTCAATGCCATTCTTTTTACAGAAAGTGAAAGCACATCCCGTATCTCGCTTAGTGGGTAATAATGATTTTTCATCGTGAGACGAAGTAATATTATCAGAACTCTAACTGAAAAAAACATAAGATTCCATTAGTGCTAAAAGAAAAAAGGATATTGAAAATGTTAAAATGAAGTTGACATTCTGTAGCTTAACCAAAATTTATCATTAGATATCAAACATTAATATCCAAATGTGTATCTCCGGGTCAAAATTATACTACTATTACAAATATCATGAGGAAAAAAAAAACAAAAATTAAAATTAAAAAAAATCCCATATCCTGTATGTGGTTGGGTACCCAAAGAGTGTACATTGAATAAATTAAATTCATAACGAATAGGGATATAGATGCAAACGATACTTAGGATCTATCTGATAAAAATTAGTATTTAATACTGAATTAGAAATACTGAATTTATTGAGCAATCAATAATTCTATAAATTAATAAATTTTAGGGGTCTTAAGTGTATTAATTTATAGAGTTTTCACTGTAATTGATTAAGGGGTTCAATTTTCGTTATCAAACATGGGAAAGAAAAAAAAATGTTTGATAAAATAATTTTAACCAATAAGTAGTATTAGTAAACAAGTCCTTAGGGTATATTAGGAATGTGTGTTTTTTTTTTTTTTTGAGAAAAGGTGTATTGGGAAAAAAAAAACTACTCTTTAAGCCTCGTCTTAATTCAACAAAGTTGAATATTAAAATAAAACAGAGAAAATACAGTTGTGCATGCGAGTTGAACATGCATAATCGCATAGATTGCAACTATTGCCGATTATTCTTATTCAAAAGAGTAATTAATTTTCCCTTGCCAAAATCACTAAGCAACATCCATGCAAAGTGAACCCCCAAAAAAAAAAAAAGCGTAAAAAGAGGGCCAATTTTGCTTTGAATGACACGTCACTTTAAGTAGTTAGTAAATTAAACTGTCTCAACGTTTTTAAAGGATGAATCTGCTAGTCAACAGCTCAAAAACAGTATGAAATTCTTGGAAAAAGTCTAGCTTACATTATCTTTTAAGGTGTTAACAACGTACAGTAATAATAAATTAATTAAGGTCGGAAAAAAACCACACACACATAAACCCCAAGGATCCAACATACTTTTTAAGCATACCTCTTTTGTCGACAGTAAAAATAACTGCTAACAAAACAAATGGTTAATTACCAGGAGGAGGAAGAAGAAGAAAAATATTCAGCACTACTACAAACTCAATTATTATCCACACCAAATAATCGCCTCAATTCTTTTGTGGGATTTTTACCTCAAATCGTCACTGTTGTAGTATCCTACTCAATTTCTCATACTAATTACAAAATCTTTAATTTCTCAACTTCATTAAAAGATTTTATTTTTTATTTATTTATTTTGAGGGATAACGAAAAATGGAAATGCTGATTTGTGTGGTGTTAATAACGTTGAGTCTTTGGTGTTTCTTGGTAACACAGATGAGACGTTTTGGAGGGAAGAAGAAGAATAAGAAGATGGTGTGGGGCAAAAAGATAATAAGCAGCCATATTGATGTTGATGATGATGATGATAATGATGTTGATCATGAAGAAGAAGAAGAAGACGGTTCATTTGGGAACTTATTATTTGGTGGAAAACAACATCTGGAATTGGATGATGATGATCTTATGGCCAAAGCTTCTTTGTTGGAACGTATTGCCTCTCTCGAAGATCGACTTCTTCAGGTCAATAATATTATACGAACTTGTTTCTTTCTTTTCTTTCACGTAATTAAAATGGTTTCTTTTTTTTGGTTTCTTTTTCTTCTTCCCATTCTGTACATGTCGGATGTTTAATTTTGATCGTTTTTTGCAATTTTTAGGTTAACTAGCTAGTCTCGTTTCATTGAATCCGGACCTTTTTAATAAGAATCATACCCCTTCGGATGACATCGATAAGGATGTTTACGGATTGACCAATTCCTTGGATTTTATTTTACTTTTTACTGGTTCTAGATTTTTTTGAGTCCATCATTGTTGTTGTCATTGTCATATTATTTTTAAAGTTAAATGCTTTTTGGTCGGGGTTTATGTGATCTCGAAAAGAACAAATCTGGCTCAAATTTAAATTAGTCGAGACAGTAATTTCAGAAACCAAATGTGTAGAAATTTTTTTTTTTTTTTTTTTTGTGATTCATAATGTTGGTTTTTTGTTTGTTAGATGTGCATGGAGATTGAATCATATCGTAGGTCATGCAGCTCATCAAGCTTGAACACATCTAGTGGTGCATCATCTTCAAGCAATAATGGATCCAGATTTGAGAGAATGAGTTCATATCCAACTTTCGTGTACAAACCTCAGAGCATTCCCCAGCCTCAAGCTCCTTACAATCTATCTGCATTTGAGGTAATTTACGCTTACATGGATTGTACAAGAGTTTTTTTCATCTTCCAGCATAATTAACTGAGAATATATAGTCTTCTAATTAAAAGTTTTCAGTATTTGTGTGACTGTGAATCGGCCTGACTTTAGAATAGTGATATTCATCTCTACTTACACAATTTAAAATCGTCATCGACGAAAATAATGCCAAAAAGCACTAGTATAGAAACATTTTTCTTTTCAGTTTCTGAGAAATCGTCCGTTTTTTGTTGACCTAAAACACGATATAAAACCAGTAGTATTTTTGGCTCTTTGGTAAAACCTTTTTGTGTTTCAGACAGAAACTCCTCAGCCGCAGGCAAAAATAACGAAGACTTCTAGTTCTGTGAAGGAGCAGGCAAATATCAAAACCAAGAAAGATGGGGAAAAGGGTCGAAAACTGAAGAATGGCAACTCACCGAATTGGCCACGCCTCAAAATTCTGGGCTGTTGATAGCCTGATACACGAAAAAATTTCTGATAATAAGGAAAATGTAGAGAAATTCAAATAACTCTAAACATGCAGTACTTGATATTTCTCAGGTTTAATCAATGTAGTACTTCCTCGAGTTCACTTCAAATTTGTGACTTACAAAAACAATCTGAGGGAATAACTCACAACTTTGTCAATTAATTTGAGATTTACTTTTAGCTAGTTCATCAGGGTTTAATTACCTTTCGACGGATTACTGTCTAATTTCCTTAGGGTTCTTGGGCTTGTTTAGTTTTGGTACTTCAATTTCATATTTTTTAGGTTTTGGTCTTCTTGCTGGTTATATATATATTTTTTTAGGGAAAAAAAATTAAAATTACTTCCAACAGAAATATTTAAACTCCGCGCTCCTTTTTATAATCTCACCTAAACCTCCCACCCCGATGGTTATAGATAGATATCTTATTTTAATTCTCATAATAATATGCTAAAGTTGACAAATTGTGAAGATATGATATCATGATTGACAATGTCAGATTTCTATCTCTATTTCGAGATATTCGTACTTATTCATTATAATATCAATATGTAGTTGAAAGTAAGTTATAAGACTCATTCCTAAAATAGGAGGGTTATTTTTTTCCAATTGTTATTACTTACTTATCCTTTTTTTTTTAATTAATTTGGATGGCCACAGGGAGAATCGAACCCTCGACCTCCTGCTAATAACCATCCCCCAACCTAATCCTCTAACCATCCCATTTAACTCTCCTACTCGTACTACTTTCATGTCCCTATCATTGTGTTTACTCTTTTTCTTCATCGGCACAAGATTCACTGTGCCATTTTTTTTACACTCTATATTATACATTTTAATAATTGTGTGTGTGTGTTTTTTTTTTTGTTGCATTTAGGTTTGCACCATTTTGAATCACTTTCATAGTAATATATTTTAGAACTAAAGGTTCACATTTTTTTTCAAATTATGACCTGTTTATTTGAATTTTTATTATGTAAAAGTTCAATAAAATCTAATAAATTTCATAAAAGATGTAATAGTGATCGGAATCTACAATGAAAATATGATTTCGTGGTACAAGCACTAACACAAAAGAAAATTTACCAAGTGTCACAGAAGGGTCAGTGCCCTCATTGGCTCTTTTGTAACTCTCTTTAGCTCTCGACAATTTTCCTCTCAAACATCTCTCTCTTTACAATTTGTCAATTTCTTTTTATCTTCACCAAATTCGTACGTAATGTTTTATTGAATCAAACATTTAATATTAATCAAAATGATGCCTCATAATGATTTTCCTTTGTACTAAACCAATCCGATTTGCCTAATTGCAACCAACAATTGTGAACTACAAAACACTTGGTCCGAAAGATAGCTAGTAACCGTTTTTCAGACAACTCACTAAACCAAACATATATAGAACTTTCTACTTTCTAGCGTGGTAGGAAAGATGATTCTTTTTCATTATTGTTTCCAAACCAAGCATGCAAAGATGCATATAATATTAACCAATTGGAGTCATTATGATACTTCAATTTTTGTCAAACCTTTTTTGGTTTTTGTTTCATATGGTCGTTGGGACAGTGAGAAAACGCATAATGGGAATAGTGCATCGCAGCTTATGCTTCCCATTAGCCTCTTTGGTGACGATACGAAATGCTTTCGTGACACATTGAACATATTATAGTACGTTTTTTAGGTGATATTATGTGCTAAAGTCAAATTATAGTGAGATTATTAGTTATTATATATAAAAAAAAAAGTGAAATCGCATTAAGAATATTCGAATAAAATGACCACCATACGTACACCAATGCAAGTTTTTCAAGTTATTCTTCTGGGAGTTATTTTATAATGGTTATGCCTTGATTAGAAAACTATTCTTTCTACGGGAAGAATAACGCAATGTCAACTTAGTGGCTGGTTCAGATTTCGGACTATAACCCACACTGAAAAGCACTCTCAATACTCAATAACTAGCCCCCACCAACAAATTGGGTTTCTCTGGTTTAGTCGATCGATTTGATTACTCTGGCCGACACCATATGCTTTTTTAGTCCAATGGATCCTTCAAAAAAAAAAAAAATGATTTTATTATACTGTTTTAATTTAATAAAGTAAATTATTTTTTTAAAAACGGAGCAAACATATCTTTTTAGTATATTACATATCTAATGTTCAAAATTATTATTCTGATTAATTCATATTCGAATTGAGTAGATGTCTTAAATACACTTTTCTGATCAGTATTTTGTTGTGTGTTCCATGTATAAATCTAAACATGCATCATAATTAAACTTGTCTAATATCACCTTTTTTTCATCTCGGAAACCAAGGGCTTATTGGCAACCAAAGAGCGGGTGGGTCTCTTTGATTAGACATAAATAGCATTGCCCAAATGACCAATCAGATTAAGCAAATCAAGCATTGGGTACATTAATAGGAATCATCCCATAATTAAAAGGTAATCATGACCCCAACATTTTGTCTTGGTCATTGCGGTCACATTTTATTCTCTAGTCACCCTCTCAAAGGTAGAATGCTCCAAAAAGTTTAAAAAAATTCCATTAAATTATAAAGTGCGGGTATTTATTACATCCATGCTAGCAAGCTGGGCTCTAAATTGCAACTTTGCATGTTTCCATGATTGCTGGTGGTGTACTTCATTTGAAATGATCGGGTTAGGCTCTCATATTTTCCAATCAATACGTGACTATCATTTTGTAATGGTAAAAAAAATTGTAAGTAATTAATCATAGTTTTATGGATTTTGTTTTTTTGTTTATGAAAACAAAATGTAGAATTGGTAGGTTTTTCTTGGCAAAAACAGTTGTTTTACTCGTCACCCCCCCACCATTTCTTTTCGGATCATAACGGTCGCACCACATGTGATACTTTATCACCACCGCTGACTTGATCTAAAACATGCAAGAGAGCGATAAACATGCAAGGATATTTTAGGGTAAGTTTGTTCCAGAAACATGTTCGATTATGCGAAGACACAAAGATTGAGTGAAGCGAAAGGAACTCGTCCGTCCTTAATCATAAGCCGAAAATTCAAAATCAGTTTTCGTATGAAAATAGTTTTAAATATTTTGATCAATTGTTATACTACATCCATCAAAAACATGCAACTTAGCAAAAGTATTAATTATTATCACCAGCCACAGACACACAACGTGCAATATGCAAAAGAAAAAATAAAAAACCCTTCCGACATGGTAAAATGAAATGAGGTTATACTCATGGACTGAAATGAAACCCTAGCGTATGTACTAAATAAAGTAGTGGCCGTAATATCAAGAGAACAAACAAGGTGCAATTGAGCACTCTATATGATGTTATGCATCAATACTTCACTATGAATTCAAAGGAATATTGCGGAACTTAAAAATGGACGGGTGAGTTACGTTTCAGGTGCATAAACAATTCCTTATATATGAAAAACACATTAAAAATGCAAGTTGCAAATTCCTGAATATTCTCCAAGACTTTTAAAAAGTCTTTAGAAACTTAATTACAAGGTTGTAGAAGCCGATAAAAATGTCACAGATGATTAGCCAAACCGTTAGAAATTGATGGGGAGGGACTAAGGTTTCATTCACAACCATTGTGGTTATGGTGCAAAACTGCAAATCTGAAGCCAAAACTTAAATATTCAAATTTTCTACTCTCCTTTCGCCTTAAAAAACAGTATCCATTGAATTTTTAAATTTATTCTGTTTTTTAATACAAATCGCAAAATATAATATAGACTATTTTTTAGACACAGAAAATATCATAATTTTATTTTTGTTTTTTCCAACTTGTTCATATCATACCATATTCCATATATAGAGTATGTGAGTTTCTCATTCATTTCAATGGAGTCAATTGAATATATCCATGTGAATATTGATCATTTTTACGATTTAATAAATATATTTGTGAAGCAGTAGAACATTCCAATACCAGCATTTGAACCTAATATTGAATTTTTCTTTTTCCCCTTCATTTCCTGAAAAGGACCCTAATAATACTGTTTGATTTTGGTTTGCTATTTAATTAAAAGAAGAATCCTCCAATCCTCTCCTCCCAAACCCAAAAACCTCTCATCAATTTAATCCCCATTCTACCCCCCTCATAAGACAAAACACTCTTACCTCATCCCCTCTCTCTCTCAAGAAAGCCAACTTTCTCTCTCTAAATAGTCTCCTCTTTCTCTCTCACACAGTCCCATACTTCCCCTCAAAGATTCAAAGAGGAAAAATGGACAAAGCTGCTGAGTCCTCCGCCTCATCTACACCGGCTCAGCCAATCGGAGCTGAGGATTCAGGCACCCAAGAAATCAACACCGACCATCACCTTAAAATCCCGGCTGGCCTAACCCAAGACGAGTTCGACGCGCTCCAATCCAAAATCATCGAGTTCCACAGCTACCGGGTCAACTCGGGCCAATGCTCCTCCCTACTCGCGCAGCGCATCCACGCGCCGGCGACTACCGTCTGGTCCATCGTCCGGCGATTCGACAAGCCCCAGACGTACAAGCACTTCATCAAGAGCTGCTCCGTGCCGGACAACTTCCAAATGGCGGTGGGCGTCACCCGGGACGTCAACGTCATCTCCGGCCTGCCGGCGGCCACCAGCACGGAGAGGCTGGACATACTGGACGACGACCGGCACGTGACCGGGTTCAGCATCACCGGCGGCGAGCACCGGCTGAGGAACTACCGGTCCGTGACGACGGTGGACGAGTTCAACCGGGACGGGGAGATCTGGGCCGTGGTTCTGGAATCGTACATCGTGGATGTGCCGGAAGGGAATACGGAGGAGGACACGCGTCTGTTTGCGGATACGGTGGTGAGATTGAATCTGCAGAAGCTGGCGGCTGTGAGTGAATCCATTGCAAGTGATCGGAGTGGTGGTGAATGACCCAAAGGGCCGCCGCCACTAATTAAAAAATTTTCCTCTGTAAGTTTCCATGTGCATATTTCTTCTTCTTTCTCGCAGATTCGTACCAAAGAAGCAAGGGAAAAAACGAATTTATGATTTGGGCTTTAAAATTTGGGATGATTTTCATAAAAAGAAGGTGCAAAATCACGTTATGTTTCGAGAATGGAAGATTGAATGATTGATTGATCCAGAAGACAATTTGATGACAGAGATTGATGAATTGTACAGATATGTATTTCTCTACTTCAATGAGTTTGCTACTGTATTGATCAATTTCCACATTTTATTTTTCTTGCTAAAAAAAGGGGGTTGAAAACTACTGCATTATCCGATTAATTTGTTACTTTCATTTCCTTTTTTTTTTTTTTGGTTTTATGATTTATGAATTGCAATATGTAAGCATGGAGTGAATTGGATTATTGGTCACTTGTTAGCTCTTGTTGGTATATTAGCGTTTCAAAATGATTGTTTTATTTGTGACGGAAATAATTGTGATATGAAAACTCTTTAATTGAGATATGGCTGATATTATTCTCCCTACCAGAAAGAACCCACTCTACTAGTTCCCTATAGTTTTTAAACTGTTGAAGATAGGTTTCTATATTGTAGTAGCTACCACAGCACTACTAGCGTGTAGACATTTCTCTACTAATTGTTTAATTGCTTGCATTATTGATTTAATATCCAGCATTATTATTGCAATGATAATTATATATTATCTCCGTTCCCAAAAAAATAGTTTATATTGAGTTTTGAGTTTTGTATTGTTTTTAGTACAAATTTAAAAACTCAAAGTAGACTTTTTTTTTGGGACGGAGATAGTATTTGGTATTTATTTTTAGTTTAAATTGTAGTATTAAAATAAAATAGAAATTACACAATCATTTTGAGACAAATAAGAATGTTGTTACATCTTACATCGTCCAAACTCCTTAAAATTTTTTATATGACTTTCGGAACTATATGTTCAACATTAAGTTCACCATAAAGTAGAGTTTTGTACGCTTCCTCTCAAGGTAGAGTTATGCATATTTGTCATAAGTTGTAAAATTACGATATTATAGTTTGAGATACCTTCGATTATTTTCCTGATATTTCCAAATAATAAGCTGCTTTTTTATTCTACAAATGAAAATTCTAACAGAACGGTCATTTTAAAACCTCTGTTTGGTTGGTTTTTAATTACTTTTTCAATAATTTTTAATTCATAACTATCTCATTTTAATATATCTTTTTTATATTTTCAATACACTTTTTTATATTTTCAATGAAAAATACCTAAAAATACACATTAAAGAATAACAATCCAAACGAAAGTATAAGATAGTGAAGTTTTGCTGAAGATTGAAGTCTGATGAGGACTGTAATCCTTGTATATAGTCAGCACAAAATACATACCATTGGGAGTACTCCCTTCGGTTCTTATAAGTATTTTGATTTGTTTTAACTTTCATTTAGAATGTTCTTTTAAATTAAAATAATATCTTAAAAATATATTTTCATATTTATTGTGTTCTCCTAATTATTACAAAATCTTTTGAAAGTTTTATTTTCAATTGGAAAGACATATTAAATGAAATTTAGGACAAATCAAAATATTTTATAATAAGGACTGAATGGAGTACCTAATATTATTTACATTTTTCTCATTAATAGTAAAGAGGGTCTCATTTAAATTGGTAAGTTAGGCTCTTTTAATTTGGTGTACGTTTCACCATTGGAAATAAGATAACAAATCAAGTCCTTTGTCCCAAATTTTGTTTTACTGTTTTTTGTTATCCAGATTCTTCTGTGATAGTCGGTTGCAGTTGCATGAAAAACACGGCATGCAGTTGCATGAAAAACAGTTGCTTAAATGCTTCAATTATTAGGAAGGTTATGTGTGTATTTATGAATATTACCCCTTTCAAAAAAACAAATATTCGTTTAATGTGTCTTTTGTAAACTGGAAATACACTACCACGATGTAGGAGTAAAAAACTATATTTCCAGCAAAAACCAAAACAAAAAACAAAAAAGAAGAAAAGAAAACGCAGAAGGTTTAAATATAGTATTGAAGAGTAAATTGCAAAGTGAGTTTATATTTTAATAAAACTCTATGCAAAAAGAAAAATATGATCATTTTGTAAGGGAACAAATATGATTTTTATTAAATATTTTTCTCAACTTCCAATTGATCATATACATATGGTTAAGTTGGTTGACCTTTTCTACAAAGCAGACATTGAATATAAAAAGGTTGATGAAATTGAAAACTGTGGCTTTCCAGAGAGACATGAAGAAAAGATAGGGAATTTACCAGACTTGGGAAAATACAAAAAGAATCTGGCCATGGGATCAGCTCTTACCCCCAAAAAGGAACCCTCAATTTATTAAGAGAGAAAGAAAGAAAAAAAGGAGTAAATCCAACGAAGTTGCCAACGGGGGAAATTAATGTAAGAGAGGTGTTAAATAACTCAATAATTACTCATTAATTAAAGGGTTTGTGTTATTTTATACCCTTCTCGAAATGGCAAGTTCCTGAATCCTGATGCCTTGACCTCGTGCACTCCATGTGCAATACTTAACCTTGATAAGAATAGAAAGTTGACCAAATCATGTGGGTACCGCGAACTGGGAAGAATTTCTTTTTTTCTTTTTTTCTTTTTCTTGGTTCGTAAAATTTATGGAGGTATTACTTCTCACAAATTACATAAATGGAATTGATATGAATCTTGAGATGAGATAATTGAATTACCTCAAATGAGGAAGTTATGAATTTCTCAAGATTTGATAACTTGCGATATCAATAAAGAATACTTCTAACCACACGAGAAAGAAAAGGAAAAGAAGAAGAAACGATGTAAACCATAAAAATTTACACCAAAAAAAATTGAAGATTCGAAAGATGAAAAATTGTGTTTTGGTTAGCAATCCAATCGGTTCCTCTTTAACAACCATATCCCTTTGATTTATGGATAGAACGGCTAGCGAAAAGGCTCCAATGAGCAAACTAACAAAGTTCCACACGTGAAGAACACTTAAAATCACGCGCACGCGTCAACAAAGCACAAACAAGTGTGCAATACACTAATCTTCGAAAAGAATAGAAAAAGAACAAAGAGTTTCCTCTCGTCATGGATTGAAATATCAATAATCATCAAAAGTATATATATTTTTGGTCGACCAAGACCCCCTTTATATAGGCAAAGGTTGGCTTGAACAAAAAAAAAATCCGAATACAAGTTCAAATCGGATTTGTCTACCTAAGTTTCCTAATATAAATTTAAATAATAATTAAATAAATAATTGCACATGTCACAATTATTTAAAACAATCTAGAATCTTCTAGAGGTGTAGGAAAGTCGGTCATAGTAGTTAAATTACAGAAAAGTCCTTTTCCTAATCAAAATAGGAAGAAAGGAAAATTCTGCTCGTCGTTGTCGACCTTGCTATCGACTGGCAGAATGCTCGACACGACACTGTCGACTTCCTTGTCGACCGACCTTCTGCTCGACGCCCTCCTGTCGATCTTGGTGTCAACCAACAGCCTACTCGGCGCCAGTTTGTCAACTTTGTTGTCAACTTCTTCACCTCAACTAAGAGCTTGACATGCACTAAAAAGCTTCAATTCCACTCAAAGCTAAACATGATACCCATGGAATTGAATCCACATTGAGAGTTTGAACATCAATGAACAAGTTATTGAGCGACTCATTCATTTTCTTCATTCGAGACCTTGTCATAAAACCTCCAACATTTGCTAATAGATCTTAAATCACTCTTTGAGCTTGAACTTGATTATTCGGTTGAACAACAAGTTGTCCTTGAGCTTGATAACCTTGGATGTCCACATAATTCTTCTTTATTGATTTCTTCTTCTTGACTAAATCATAGTAGCGCACCTTGTCATCTTTCTCGTCTATCTCCTTTGCTTGACCATCATGTCGATGTGATTCTTTCGATTTCATTGTCAACTTGATTATAGCTTGACGCAAACCATATTTTGGCTTCAATCTTCCATCATCCTTAATTGCAACCTCAATATCACAAAATATACCCCCTATGTGATCACAATCAATGTAATGATCATTGTAGTTAGGTATGACACTCAACGTGCCATCCAGGATCGCATCATTCTCCGCTTCCTCGAAAAGATTCGTTATCGGATCGTGCTTCATGTAATTCTCGAGGAAAAAATTCTTCATGGTCTTCTTATGCAACTTCACATACTTCCCTCGATCATCCAGTATCTAGAACTCTGAGAAATTTTAGAGAACCAGAACTTCTCGTGAGAATGTATCACCAAACACAAAACCAATATGTTCAATCTCTTCGTATGAATCCACGAGAATTAGATGTTTCTGTTCAACAACCACTTCGAGCGAACAAGATGTAGGAATAGTAGAGACTGAAATATCCATTGTGATAGGAACGTTCTCCATAACTACTTCTTCATCATTGTCATTTGCATAGTGTCTCGAACATCATCAACAATATAGTCACCATGACCAGCAATTCTACTAATTTGGTAGTACTTCCACCTTGCCATAGAGTTTAAGGCGCGATAAACTTCTTCTTCAATAGGCACAGTAATGGAATAAAATATGTCGTACAAATTATCCATCAAAGAAGAATCTGTATCTTGGGCTCAACCATTTCAAACAATGGCAAATCATCTAACTCCTCAATATCAAAATCAAGAGGTAGAATATTGGAATCCAATGACATGGAATTATTTTCTTCAACAACACTTTCAACCTGTGGATAAAAAATAGAAACAGTGAAAGAATTTATGTTTTTAGAAAAATTTTCTTCCAAAACCAAATCTTGGATCTATTGCTCGAGCTCATGTTGCCACTCTTCACATTCTTTCATCTCTTCCTCTACCGCAACATGTTGTAATCTAATCTCTTCCTCCTCGTCATATTGTTGGAAAGAAGATCGTAGTTTTTTTTTTGTATTCTCTACAATCTTTTGCATTTGAAGTTGCATTGCTTGACTTTGTCGGTGCATGAACTCATGCGAATGAAAGATTTGTTATAACACAACTTGCTCTTCTTTGATTCTTCTTTGTTCCACTTCAAGGAATCCTTCTTTATTTTTCTTTGTAGTCATCTCGCACCTCTCAAACTTTTCTGCTTTCTTATGAAGTCTCCCTTGTTTTGAAAACGTAGGAGCAAAATTCTTTCAAAGTTTTTGACGAATCACTTCCCAAGAAATAATAGGAAGATCACCAAACCATTTTCTATCTCGCTCAAGATCCGTCCACCATATAATTGTGTTTCCACGAAATTTGGATACGACAAATTTTACTTTCTTAGTCTCTGAAAAGTCATTAAGACAAAACACTCTTTCCACACGTGACTCCCACCCAAGATATTCATCTTCATCTTGTCGGTCATAGAACTTGGGAAACTTTCTTTTAGGACTATAGTAAAGTCCATCATTCTCTTCATCATAAACTCTACCATCATCATAATGATCATAGTATCCCATTACACCTTTCTTATAATATCAAAAAAACACACAAGAAGAAATGTATCGAAGAACTCACTACCTTGTTACCACTCCCAACTATACTATTCACTCCAATTGATATGAAACTAATTCTAAGAGCTTTCAAAACATGCAAGTACCAAGACACTCAAGAAGATTTAGATTTAGTAAGGGATGGATTCACTCTTTTCTTACCATGGTCTTTGTCCTTCAATCATTAGTGCAATGAAGATTAGTGTTAATTTGTGCAATT